ATGAACTTACACAAAGTTCATGACAATGGTTAAATGTTTTGATGAGTTCATGTATATGTAGGGTTTCATACAAAGTGCATATGACCCTTGTGTGTACATGAAGCGTGTTAACAACACAAAATTTGACTTCATATCACTCGTGTTGCATGTATATGACATGCTTATTGCTGCTAAGAATAAGTTTGAGGTTTTAAAACTCAAAGTTCAGCTTGATTACGAGTTTAATATGAAAGATTTAGGTCATGTTAAGTGTATATAGGCATGAAAATTCCGAGGAACAAAACATCAGGAAAACTTAAGTTGAAGCAGACGCGGTATGCAGAAAAAGTACTCGCTAGATTTAACATTCCAATTCCTAAAGTTGTAAATACTCCATTCTCTGCACTCTTTAAGCTTTCAGCAGTTTTATGTCCAACTAATGCAAGTGCAAAAGTATTCATGTTTTTTATTACTTATGAAAATGAAGTTGGCAGCATTATGTATCTAATGGTATGCACTAGACCTGACATAGCATATGAAGTTGGGAAGGTGAGTAGATACATGTCAAATCCTGGACAAGAGCATTGGAAAGCTGTGAAGTGAATAATGAGGTATATCAAGAGTTCTCTTGATACTGGATTATTGTTTGATGCACAATCAACATTCCAAGTTTGTTCGTGGTATATGTTGATGCTGAAAATGAAGGAGATTTGGATAAGCGAAGATCAACGACTGAATATGTTTTTGCTCTTGCTGATGGATGCATAAGTTGGAGATTTACACTTCAAAAATGTATTTCTCAGTCGTCTATAGAAGCTGAATACAATGTTGTAGTAGAAGTAGCAAATGAGTCAATTTGGTTGAACAAGTTGACCATTGAGATAGGGCTTGCACACAATGATGAGAATCTTGACTATGACAGCTAGAATGCACTTCATCTAGCATCAAACAATGTGATGGATGGTAGGGTAAAGCACATTGATATCTGATATCATTATATCAGACAAGTGGTGTCTGATAATGCGTTTAAGCTCATCAAAATTGATGGTAAGCTCAATCTTGCCGACGCATTGATTAAAATGATTTCATTGGAAATTTTTCCAAGCATTGTGCAAAGTTGCAAATGTTGCATAAAAATAGTTAGTCTAGTAACTCTTGTACATGTATTCTTCATCCGATTTTTGCCGGCTACGGCTAAATTCTAATAAACTTTCAACTATGAGGGAAAGCGTGATTTAGCTCTACTTTCTAGAATCTCTAGTAGAGATACATGTGGATTGCATTAATTATCTCTCCAAGACTTGAGTCAAGGGAGAGTTAGTTAGGTAAACTCTATCTTAGATTAACTTCAGTTAGCAATAATTATGGTTAGGAAATTTAGCTGTGGTTAGGTTAGCTAAGATGTGCATCTTATATTTTCTTGTATAGAAGAGAGAAGAAATCATTCACTACCTACAGTTCAGAGTTGCACTTTGAGAGTGAGCAAGAAAGATGAGAGCTTGGTTACTGAGGCCGTGTATAATCTTTTGCTATAGTAAAGATTCTACTTTCGCCTGTGAACGTAGCCTATGGAAGATAAATCATGTTCACTCGATGTTGTGATTGTCGTGTCGATGTTGATTGTTGGGCTTCACAAAAACAACAAAAAAAAATTCACGCATACGCTGATAAACATATGAGATTTGCCACTCAAGTATGTTATCAGCCTCCACACACACAAAAATTTTGGTTGTTTTTTGTGAATTTTTCAATAAATATTTTGTTTGGTTCATGTACATGATTTGTCGCTCACGACCACAAAGAAAACTAGATCCTTATTAAAAACTTACAAAATGTTTAGTGCAAGATGTGGCTAGCACTCCAAAATATATATAGGATAGCAGCAAACCTAATTCTAACCTTAACTAAAGCAAGCCTAAACCTATCTCTAACTCCAATTAGGTTAACTAGAGTTTGATTCAATACTTGAATTAATAGTTACATTATAACACACTTATTTTGATTCCATAATCACAATTAGCATATAAGGTCATGTACTAAATTTCCACATGATGTAAAGAAAATCAACTAATTGATTGAGGCTACAACTATAATACAACTTTCTTAATGTATGATGATGTATATCTTTGAGAAATTTAACACTTAGTTAAGTTAGTGAAAAAAAAACACTCATGTTAATGCATCAAATTCCATGTATTGTAGTGTTTTTTTGACGTGGTTGAAAAACGTTTCATTTACTCCATGGCCAAATCTCCCCAAAAATGGAGTTTGGTAGCCCCTTTACAACAACGACAATTTGTGATGTACGAGCCCAAATTTTCTCCTTGAAGAATCCTTTGCACTTCATGACATGACGGTCATTTGCATCACTTCTTCCTCTCCAGTCCTCCCTCCTATCACTGATGCATTCGTCACCTCTTTGCAAGCGGATCGACGCTTGGTCTTACCCAGATCCGATCGGTATCTGGGTAAGACCTGACTGCCCCAGACTCTCTTGGCCTGGCCCCAGACCCTCGACGAGGGTCAATGAGACCATCGACGACCCATGTTAAACCCTTCAACCCTTTCTAGGGCTCCTTTCTTCTCCGGATGAGGAGAACCTAAGTATACTCTCTTTGAGAACCAGTTGGGACTACAGCAACCTCGCCTTCTTCTGTTCTGCTTAGGGCTTGGAAGAAGTACGTCAGACTTCCTGTCACAGCCGTCGATGATGAGCGCCAGTTAGCTAATCCTAGCGGTCCCACAGTGCATATTTCACTCTAAGAGATTATGCATCAACGTCATTAAATTTTGACGTGAAAATATATATGTTCGTAACTTCACGAGGGCTCGATCATTGCCAATGCAATCTTTTTCTAGAAGCATCAGCTGGCTAAAGAAGTCAGAAGGTGTATGAACTCTCACTGATTTGGATAAGATGAATTTGGATAATTGGGAATAAAATATAGAAGTAAAGTGTACTTTTACCAAAAAAAATTCACAATCCACATTTCAGAAGAGTCAAATATGTTGAAAAAGAAAATAACTTTCCCTATTATATATTGGAATAAAATAAATTTTGAACATGTAGAATACATATTAACTTGTAAATTGGATGAAGAAAATGTGAAATTTGTATTTAATCGGTTCAGTTTATCAATTTCACTCTAATATATTCCATATTCTGAAATGATTTTAAAATTGAAACTTTATAGTGATGAGGGATAAACAATCCATGTGACAAAAATTGCTGTCCGTGCAATGTTGGTCTACAACACGTTCCTCTAATTTTGTTTATCTCTAGCGCATACTTTGACTACTCATATGCTGTAGCATATCATTCAATAGCAGCACCACACAGTTTGTTCATTGAGTGCATGAGGCATAACTCAGGACTCTACAAATCTAAACGCTAAAATGACGAAATTTTTAGTCTCATTAAATCTGGTTAATGTGAGAACAGATATATTCACGATCAATTCTGAACATATTCATTAAATTTATTCCCAACTTGTTTATGTTAATACAGTCATCGTATTTCTGTACGTCATGTATTCAGATATATCCGTTTTGTTTGATCTGAATCTTGTTTTGACAATTCAAACTTAATTGATCTTTTGCGATGTTTCCAATTTCATTAATCTAGAATTATTATCTAGGGAAGTAACCATAGTTAACAAAATTAAGCATATATATATATATATATATATATATATATATATATATATATGGACTCTTTCATATTCTGAAAATACAAATTAAGTTTTTAATGACATATGTTGAAGACATAAGATTTCAAACCTATCAACGAAATGGTATATACATTTAACATGATATTGGTTTTATAAAAAACAATTCCTAAAAAGATCTACCCTTTACAATACATATATCTTCGATAATTATTTTTTATTTATTCCAATTGACATGTTTTTTAAGAATAGTTTATCCAATGTTAAGACTACAATGAGCAAATCTAATAATCTGTTTTTTCTCTTGGAAATGTAGTTTGGAATGAACTCAATCACATGTGTATTGAATGTTGCATAAGACAGAAAATTAGATACCATTTTCACTGTCTTGGTATAGAAAAAATTACTGATTAGTTCTAACTATGTTAGGTTGGATATCATAAAAGGAAGAAGTATCCATACAGAAAATTACTGTACTTGGGTATGCAACTTCAATGCCATACATTTGCAACTGATATACAAAAATAAAGATCTTCCATAAAAGATTGCATAATGGTCAAAGGACATTATTTTTCTCGAAAAGGACACATGAACATTAGATGTATGGCTAACATCATTAGATGTAGCATAATATCTTTTTTTCAATTAAATAGTAAGACTGTATGAAGAATACAACCTTTTCTCTAATTCATTTTGGATTGATCAAATTGGTACAGAAGTTGTAACACAGGAAAACTACAGAAAACACCACTTATTTGAAGAACCCAGTGACCATACAATTTAGAAAGTAGGATTTTTTGCAAACAATAACCGCTTAAATAATACAATTCGAGTCGAAGGTAGCGAGCATAATTTGATCTTGGATATAAAAATATTTCTGCCTTTATGCTCCCCACGTGACGGCTCTAATGTTCGTGCATCTCGTCAGGAAAGTGGGCCACACGCTGAATATCAGATCAATTCTGCCTTGGAAGAAAATAAATAATATTTCTCTATATCTACAGATTAATGATTATTAGGACTTGGCATGGATGCTACTATACTCGCAAGAAAATATCCAAAACCACGGACAATTAGACTGAAAAAACTTGAGAAATTCCATCAAGCCCTAAAAGCAACAAACAAAGGCAAGAATGTAATACTATCACAAAACAAAAACAAAACATGTGTCCTCACACCTAAAATACCCAAGTTAAAGTATCTATAAGCATGATAAATAATTCTAGTTTATGTAATGCAATGAAACGTTTCTACATGAAGTAGTCCACTAAACATTCTAATGTTCTAATGAAGATAAATTGCAGGGTCTGAATTCGTGTGGAGTATGAAAATTTCAATTACAGCTGAAGAGTAAGCTCGTGGAGCAGAGATGACAAGGATCGAAGAGAGGAAGATGGAAACGTAGCGGAGAAGGCTGCGGCGGCTCTGCGTGCTCTTCATCACATTACGGAAGCATGATGATCGCGTGTGAGGAAAGTGTGTCTTCCTCGTAGAATTGGCTTGACCAACGAGGACGAGGTGACATCAGACGGACAGCAAAGCGCTTTCGTAGCGAAGAACGGGAGGGAAACAGGGAGCTTGTCGTGTGCTGCGCTGTTGTTGTTGTTGTTGTTGCTGCTGCTGCTGCTGCTCGTGTTTTTGTGCACTTTATTTGTCGAATGCGCTCCGAGAGATGCGAGCCCCGTTCCTCACGAGTCGAAAAAGTCGTTTCCTGGCTTACCATCATTGGAATTTGGACATCCGTCCTTCCCTGCAGGATGCTTTGGGTCCTATCTTTTTCCCCAAGATAGCAAAAGCAGTTTCCTCGGCGAAGGAATGTCGTTCGATGGTTGAAATGAACAGGACGGTACTTTCACCACGACGATTACTTCGGCTCCTCCCCCCACTACAGGACAGTTATTTACAGAATATTCGGCGAATTGCAGTCCTCGTTGAAGCCAACCTGATTCAATGTGCATTTCGTGATTTGATTCCTAATCAACTGTACCGAAAGTACGCCATTCCGTTGAGATTCAGGACGGACGAGAAATTTGAAAGCAGCACAAAATGGTTACACCGTCAGGCTCTTCATTAAACCCTAACGTTCTGTTGGTATACACCTAATAGATCAGAAACCGACTACGGGCACACAGCAAAACTCAATTATCGGTGACAAAGTTGGACTCCATCTTTTTAGTTGAACCAAAGCCCTACTGTCGTGAGGCACGAGGCGGACTGGGCCATCGTCGCTCCGGTTGAGGAGGGTTACAGTCGCCAGGAGTGAGATGCTGGGCCGGGTTCTGTATGGTAGCAGCTACATGGCCACTGTCACCCTTCCGTTGTTGTTTTCCCAATCCCCTCATATAGTGAACTCGACGCAAGTTTACGCCGTGGCTGCACTCTCCAAACATTTCAGCATTTCGCACTGGAGCTCCTAAATTTTCGGTAGTCACAGAGGAGAATGGCTGGACGACTGAGGACGGCAGAAGAGGACGTTCGCATGCGCGATGCCGAAATTCTAAAATTAAGAGACCTTGTTACGAGTTTGGAGGCTGAGGGAATGAGACTCGATTCTGAGTTGCGATCAAGCTTTACAAAGCTGCACAATGACAAAGAAAGTGCAATTAATGAAGGCAGAGTTCTTCTCTCGCAGGTACGAAGATTGTCCCCTCCTCTTGGTGAGGCTTCGTCCGTCCTGTCTAAGCTGATCCAACGAATTAAAAGAAAAGGTGATACACCCGAATTCCTGTAGATTTAACGTGCTCCCTGACATCAGTTCCTGGCTTAAGAGAGGAAGGCAAGAAAGTCATTTCCAGAATTTACATGAACTGAAATTATGTACTGAATTTGAATGAAATTTTCCAGTCTTACGACATCTTTGACGAAGCTCCTATCTGATGTAAATCCGCCCGGCGTAATACTGCAGCTTTCAAGACGGGACGCGGAAGTTGCCCTTCAGTCTAAACAAATTGAGAAGCTAAGAGCAACCAATGCAAACCTTAGCGCCCGGCAAGCGGATTACAAAGAAGAAATTAAGAGGCTGAAGGCTGAACAGAGGCATGAAATAAGCGACCTACACGAGAACCTACAAGAAGCACTTGCTTCAAGGCATGCAAAAGAGGTCATGTCTCCACCTAATCTACAGGACTCATGCAACATTTAGCATTTGACTTAAGTTTGAATTCAAAGCCGGGCGATAATTTTGATTTATGATAAGTATGTGGACGTAGTGATAGCAGGAAGAGGTAAACCTTGAAGTGTTTCAAATAAGGCAGTTAGGAGAGGGTTATATCTGCAAATAAGTCTTGTGATCACTCTTGAAAGTGCACACTTAAACTAACGATGTAAAGTAAGTTCGCTTGTACAGGTCTGCTCCTCTTGAAAAGGAATGCAATCTCGATTTCTACATTCTCATTGCGGGGTTAGCTCATCGGGATGACTGGCATCAAGCATCAGAAACTGATATTCCATTATCGACTCGACTTTGCAGATGGAGCTTGCCTCGTACACAGAAAAATGCAGTGGATTGGATCAAGAAAGACAGAGCTTACTCCTTCAACTCCATCAAGCATTAGAACGAGCTAATCTTGCTTCTCAGCGAGCGGAGGTAACTGATTTGACCTGGATGTATGCATCGTCCACGACCCTACATCTTTAGGTCACTACACGTCAGATCGAATCGTACTCCGGCACCGAAATGAATTGAGGAACCCAGTAATTACGAGTTTGTCTTCTTTGAGAACATTACATAACCTTTCGTTGTTTGTTTGGGGGTATAAGGAGCTGCAAGGAAAGCTGCAATCCACTGCAGAAAAAAGAGCGAGAGTATCTGAAAATGTTGCTGGAGAAATGGTAGAGCATTTGAAGCGCCTGACGTGCCACATGAAAGAGATTGAAACATCCATGGACAAGACAGCACTAGGTTTTCCAGTGGGTGTCTTTAAAAAGAAGGCGGTCGCCGCAAGCCTGGCCAAATTATCCAACAAACTCGCACATGCAGAAGCAGCATCGTTGGACATTCTGACACATGCAGACAGCCTAAATGCACCTCTAAAGCCTGGTATACAACCGGGAAAAGAAGAGTGCGGGAGACAAGTTTCCTGCGGTGTCCCGGGTGAAAGTAAAGAGTCTTGGTCAGATGGCGAACACTTACCCAATCAACTTGAAAAAGGAAGTTCGGTGAAAGCCAGAGGAATGGCTTTCACAACCTTCCAGAAATGGGTGACCTGGAAGTGGAGGTGGGCAGCGTCTGCGACCAAAGCAGAACGATTGAAAAACCAGCTGATGCTAAAATCGGTTCCGACTGAGGCCAAGATCCAGATCGATGAAAGTCAGCAGAAGGGTTCCGAACTGTATAATTCTGGAGTTGATAATAAAAACCTCGGTGATGTATTCTTGAAGCACAAGCTAGTGCCTCTAATTATGATGGCATGGCGTGCATTTTCCAAGTTGTCAAATTTGGAAAGGGTTACTGATGCTCGAAACGAATCCTTGAAAAAAATAATTTCGGCACTCCCTTGGTGGATTCGTCGGGTAGGGGAAAGAAGGGCGTTGGAGCGTTGCTTCTTCCACTGGCAGCTCCTCGCACTGAGGGCCAATCGAGCGGCAATTCAAGAGCAGCAGCAGACACAGACAATAGTCTCGTCCGGACCGATTCTACAATCTAAGGTCGAAAGAAATCAAGTGCCCGCAGTGGTACCTACAGCACCGCTTCCTTTTCCAGTAAGGACCATCTACCGAGATGCTGAGGCACAAACTGCAGAAAGCTTACGAAGTTCTGAGATTGAAGTGAAACATGAACAAAATCTGAGTGGAACAAGAGCCATCGCACATAGAAGTAGGCCAGAACCCAAAGCGGCACCACCTTCAGTTGCAAAGAGCGAAACTCGCTCGAGATTCAGTGGAGATGCCCAGCGTATGTCGAGAAACCAGGAGACGAAGAGTCGGATAAATACCACATCCGCCGCTAGGCCATTAAATGGTTTTCAGGTGTGAGCGCTTTTCCATGTTAATCACAAGTGAAAGACTGTCAACATTCACAAAATTTCGAGTTGTCGCATGCTTTGTCGACATTGTACATTCACAAAAACATTCAGCTGCAGAGTTTCATCACTCCTCACGTCCCTACAATGCTCTTCCAGACCTCGTTTCGGGAAGAGCTGAAAGAATTGCAGGACGTGGTGTCTCGGGAAGTGGACTCTGTGAAACAGGTATGCTCCGGCAGCTCTTTGCCTGATTTGCGTGCTTCTCAAGGTTAGTGCACTTGCCTGCCCAAGTATGGCAGAGAAAGACAAATGGATGTGAGAAATGCATGTAAGTAGTACGTGCGCGTACTTCACAAACACTACACTAACCATCTGTCCGTGAACAAAACGCTTTTCGCAGATCCTTCCCCAAAGGCCACGTAGTACTTTCGGAAGGCTATCTGGCGCTGGCGAGGTCGACCCAACCAAGCAAGCACTGAAATCCGTGTTCAGTGTATGCAATAACTTGGCACAAGCTTTAGATGAGGTACGTGCTCAGTTGTTTGGGGCAGAAAGCCAAACAAGAGATCCGACACAGTGGACGGCAGGCGGGAAGATGAAAAGATGCAGCACAAAGCAGTCAGAATCACAAGATGACTGTGAAGCAGGTGGGTCAGCCTTCAAGGGCAAAGACAGCGGTAGGCAACAAGATTTGCCAGAAACAATTCAACACTACGCGCTGCCGATTGGCAGAGTGGGACGGTATAGGTCCCCTCACCAAAAACAGCCAAGAGAAGCTATGGCTATGACAGCTGGAGAGGGATGGCCTCACTCATCTGGTGCATCTAGCAAGACGCAACTCCGTACACCACGACATCCGTATGGAAACAGTGCAGACCAGCCTCACTACCTGCAAGAAGAAAAAAATAGCTTCTACAGATACAGGAATGGAAGGGCAGAAAGCCAGACCGATCGACGCCCACTGGAAAGGGTTCGTGTTCAACGTCATTCTGCCCGAGCAGAGAGAGATAACAACCACGAATTCAGAAGTGCAGAACACGAGTTCCAAGATCAGCATCCTTATGGAAAACCTGGTGTCAAATTGCAGCATCCTCAAGCAGGAAGAGATGATGGTATCCAAGTAAGATCGGAAGGATTGTCAAAACAGCAATTACTGATTTCAGATAATAGCCGAGTCGGAGGTCGAGTTGCAAACTTTAAGACGTTGGCCGGAAAATCTGATAAAGATGTGAGCACATCACTATCCAGGCCCCCACCAGATTGCCTTCACACAACTGTGGTACAAATTTTGAATCAAGACAATAATAAGATAGGAGAAGTAGCCATCCACACACACCCGCTCAATGGTGGTGGTGGGAGTGGCAGGGGTGTGTGTATGTCAAGAGGAGCTGATGCGAGGATCCCGACAAGGGAGCAGAGCGTCAAGCGCGGAATAGGTGACAGTGCTACAATCACTCAAGAAGAGATGTTACCGATGCCATTGGAGGCCCGAGAAGATCATCCCCGTCCTTCTACAGCCCCTGGCAGGTCCACGGACGTTTGCAGGCCATCGCTCAGGCCTGCAACGGCGGCGGCGCTTCGCTTCCAGCCGAACTCCACGATTGGAAGACATACCAAAGCACCAAACCTAGGAGCAACTCACAACTTTATCGCGTCATTGAGAAGAAAACAGTGCATTGGTTCAGACTACGCGGAGCTTTTAAGGGCAGAAATCGTTCGCTTGAGAGAGGATCGCCTCTCTCTTGAAGGCAAGTCATTGAACATGGCAATCAATCCACAACGAGAGTTGCCCTCGACGGGAAGACCTGGCTGGCGAAACGTCTACTAGAGCGATTTTCAGGTTTCTGCTCAAGCCTCGCCTTTTGGTGATACTACAACCACAGACCAGCTGCAAAAAACCATGAGTCCTGGTTTTCCTCACCAGCTCCACTCTTGAAACAATCAACAGCAGCTCTGGATCCAACTATAGACCGGACAGAGCAATCCTTCATCGAATGCTGGTCGCGAAGGGCAAGTTGCATTTAATAAGGAAAACCCCCACATCAACAGGCTCTGCTCGAAGCTGCACGGTCACATTCTGGAATCAAACAGTGGCAACACTTCACTGTTCACTAGAAGAAAGTTCGAATGACGTGCTATGTGAGATGCCAGGGCCACCTTTTCAATCGAAGACTTCATAGCTCATCAGAGACAACAGTGGAAAGTTTCGAACTGCTTATCAGCAGCAAGCTATGAAAGAAGTTTGACAAAAGTTGCAAAGGCTCCCATTCGGGCTAAGTCGAGTAAGAAGTTGCACGAAAAACAGAAGAACAGGTGTTTCTGGAGGGGCGTAACCCTGACGCATACCCAACCAGCACGCTTTCAATGTACATTCTGCTAAGTTTCGTGATCCAAGCTGCTGCATAGTGATCAAATCCAGGATTGCGATAAGAGAGCTGGCGTGAGTTGAACTGAAGTTGAGATGAGATAATGTATCTCTATCGAATTTCAAATATAAACCTGCAAGAACTCCTACGAAAGTCTGCAGGGAGTAAGCAAGGACATAAGTTGCTGATCTGCGCGACCAATGCAAACCCAACTGCATGCTGCTTTAGGTAACAAAAGATCCACGAGTTACAAAAGGCAGGAAGCCTTTCAATTTTCTACCTACTACAGGCTCAACTGATTCCGTCTGCCTCACTAGTTTGCGAAATTGAATCCTTCGATATTTGTCTTCACCAACCGCAGTGCAGATTTCCAGTTCGCGTCCAATCTCGGGTCCCCACTGGCAAAATCTTGCTCCACCCCTGCAATAGATCATTTGACAACGTGAAGTTCTCATGTGAGAAGATGAGCTCTTCATAGGCTTTACAGAAATTCCGACGGTGACAAATTCGCTTCAATGGTGCACCCGGCATCTTCCGGACCAAGCTGGGTACGAACAAGACCCCACACCAACTTCCGGCCTTCACATATCCAATCCAACAAACTCGACTGGAAAAATCAACGATAGGAGACTCTGCCCGCGGCGTCAGTGCATTATTTTCACACTTTCTCCATTCCTCCTTTCTGTTCTCCTTTCAGGTATCTCCAGCATCGCTTGTTAACACCACCAATTTTCTCCTCGACACCTGATTTTGGAGCCCCTGTTGAGTACAAATTCACCACAATCACAGTAAGCTATGAACCCAGCGAGTTGCTCTATATCATAAGCCAGTAAATGAATCAAAAACGACAAGATCAAGATTGACTCCATGATATGACCGAAAGTTCGGAAATTTTGAAGATCAAATTAAATGATGCCGTGAACATACTTCTACTTTTGCTATAAACAGAAGGTATCTAGAACTGTCTCATGGGTGTGGTACAGCCAAAAGGTAAAAAAGATGATGGATGATCAGTCCGGACTAGCTCAACAAACGTTCAAAGAAGGTGATTGCACATATGTGTGTAACAGGAAGGACGACAACCTCCTTACATCGAAACGAACATAAAAACAATTTTCAGGCTTCGGGTTTTGACAATGGCATCAGATTTAGAGAAGAACACCGAATAACGTCCGAGGATTATGAAGAACGCACCCTGCTGCAACCGACTGACCAGCATGCTCAGTATGCTCGGACACAAAAGTAAAATTCAAATTAGACAGCAGCCTACCTGAGGCATGAAATATCCCCCACGCAGCTCCATGTCGAGCATCCTGCATTGTCAAGAAACCACTAAGCTTACTGGCTCCCGTGCAATACATCTACACTGAAACCTACACGATGTTAAAGCGCAAATAGTTCCCACGATCTGCAGTACTGAGCAGTCTCGCCGACCATTCCAAAAGAGGGCAATTTAGACGCTGATAAATTTCTACCATCATAGCTGGCAGTTGGACAATTACTAAGAGAGGGCATAACAGTATGTTTCATCCCACGCTATCGAAGTTAAGACATTCCAAAAAAACAATCGTATAAACCCTTCTCATGATCGGACTTGCTTGCTTTCTTATTGCATTGTCAATTTCAACCTAATCTATCGTTTTCGTCCACATACTGCAGTGTGATGATAATGATCACTAATCCTGTACAGAATATTACAACACGAGATCAATCTTGAGCCAAGCACCTTTCCAAGCTGGATTCTTGTCAGCTGGTAGAACGTATCCGGCTCCCAGTGTCCTTTACAGACCTTCGCGCCAACACCCCAGTTGGGTAAAAACTGCAGCACTTCGACCAGATTCTTCTTCTTCCGTGTCTTGGAGCTTGCTGCGGACGCAGCGGTGGATGCCGACGAGCAGAATCGCCGGAAGGCCAGCAGCGCAGCGGAAGCATTGGAAGCCATGAATCCGAAACCCGCTTGCAATCCCTCACTTTTGATTTCAATGCACTTCGATCCGCGTCATGCAAAGGTACGATCGATCGCGGAACCTCCACCAAATTCGCCGACTCCGGCCTCCTCCCGGTCCCGATGACTGACCAGTGCACATCGCTGATGCTCTCGTCGCACGGAGCTCCTTCTGTCGTGACCGGACTGGACTGCGTTCAGAGAACCCTAACATCATGCCGCGCAGAGAACCGCGTCCGACCCTATGAATCCAGCACTGGGAATCTTCAGCTAAAATTTTCTTGATGTGCTGCATGTCTCTTGTATTTGTAAAAGCTTCCTCTTTGGATCTGTCTGTAATTAATCCTTGCATGCATTATCTACAACAGAATGTCATACATTCATTACCTGAATCTTTGACATTTCGATGCCGTCAGCATATCGTGCCGAAAGGTTTGATTTCATTCAAGGGGTTGCAAAAAGATATAGTCATGATTTGTCCCCATCTTACACTGAAAATATCAAGTATTACATTTTACACTTCTATAATTATGAATCTTAATTTTTAAGAGTACAAGAAGCTTTCCCAAAACTTTTCTATCATTTGAATAAACAAAACTTTATTACTCATAGCAACTACCAAACTTATCCTCAAATTGTTTGACATCAAAACCAACTTACTTTTTATGTAATCTTTTGGACGAAGGCAATCTCTAACGTTGATTTAAATGTTATTACAATGCGCAAAACTTTTCTTCATGAAAATCATTGCAAAGTTGCAACCAGATTTTTTTCCTGATCACGATATTATATTAGTCATTACGAATAATGATTCAAAGTCTGCTTCACGTTTGAAATTGTCATGTCTGAAATGTGTAATATACTGATGTTTCATTTGATGTAAGTTGGTGTTAACTGATTTATTTCGAGTAAGCAATTAAATTATTAACACTTTTGGACTCTTTAGTCATGTATTTGCTGCTTTGTTTATATTGGATCTGAGTTTCAGAGTTAAAATAGATTTCAAGAGTTTATATTTATTTAAATCTTAATTTCAATATCTGATTGTCATAGTATTTTTCATTTATTTTATTGAATCATCTTGATTTTTCCATTAGAATCAAGCAAGTCATATTTTTAAATAAAAAGGAAATAATTCTTAAAATTCATATTGGATTCAAGTGAAATTTTGTACACACAAAACCTCATGATGGAATATTAATTTTTCATAATGAGCTAAGAGTATTGATTTGAACAAGAGTGAGTGATGACTGCTAAGTTGAAGAATAACTGCAAAACGTTCGACATTTATTTTTATATAACCAATCTATTACACATGTGCAACCAATCATTACTCAATTATCCCTGTAGAGTGAAATCAAAATCAAGTGATAATTCAAAATCATAGAGTATCCATAATAATCATTTGCTATCAATAGATTGTTATTAATATGATGTATAGGCCATGTATTGAACCGTATTTTAAAACATGTGTTAATATTATTTACTCATAATTATATCAATCATTTCACAAACAAATTTTAAGTAAATTCCAAAATTTTATTTTTCACAAAATAATGATCAGCAATCATATGATGAAAGAATTTGAAAAAAATATGAAAATCAATGAAACAATGATGATATCTTTATTTGTGGTAAATTATATTTAAGTGATAAATTATTTTTATAATATTTTTAGAGTTAAAAAATGATATTTAAATCAATGAATATGATTGCTTTGAATGAAACGATATAAATGATCCATCAAAGAAAAAATTAGAAAATTATTTAAAAAAATCATTTCTTTTATTTTATACAATGAAAATGCTAAAAAAAGAAATATAAAATATAAAATATTATAAAATTATGAATATATATATATATATATATATATAATTGATACATATTGCAACACATATGTTTGAATCTACAAATTTTGTCCATCAAATTCAATAAATGAAAAAATATTGGATTAATTGTCAACAGTAATATATTTGTATATGTGAAATTTTATAATTTATGATTATCACGCAATTTTTCAAGCATGAATTATATCAACGCTTACAATTATTTATACTCAATATTTAAAGCTCACGTTCTTCCTGATCGTCCGAACCCACAAAGTGTCTAACGAGTTTTTAGCTGAAAGTTAATATTTTATATCTTCTAAGAGTATAGATTCATAGAGATGGCAGCCTCTCACAACCTAGGCCAGATCAGAGTACGGTCTATTTTCATTTTAGACTGCATGCCACTGCTATTGCAAACGGTTTATAGTACAAAGTGCTTGATAAGCTTTAGATTTATGTGATCAACTGTATCATTAAACTTTTCATCTTAGCTTCACAAAAGTAGTGACTAAATGCAAGTGAGATAACTAAATCTGATATGAGCTAGTTATTCGTTGTATATCTGCTAGTTAGAGGAGCAACAGCTGTGATAACGTGTCACAATCAATGTATGAGGTGGGCATATAGATCAATGAAAGCTTTTATTGTAGATTATGTTGACAACTTCATTAGGAATCTAGCTACCAACATGGAAGTTGGAATCCAAATTAAATTTGATTGGTATCCATTGTTTGAATTTGACTTTTGGAGATTATGGCTATGATGGATACATGTTATTGCATAACCTCGAGTGTCCAAAGCTCAAAGTGAATTTGACTTGTTCGAAATTTCAATTTTGCTATATATATGATTGGAATGTACTTATGAGAGTAACTAAAAGTTACGGTATTTCTGCACGAGAATGTTTGCAATAAGATGATGTTATATATATGTTGAAACAAAGTCAATTTAAACTGTCATCTGCATAAACTTGTGGAGGTTGGAATGTAGAAAGTAATATTAAGTATGCAGGCTGAATATCCAACTGAGCGAGAGTAATTTGTTGCAACTATATCAGAAAGTTTGGAGAGTTAGAGTACAGGGGACTGCGAGTATTCAATAGTAGGGACGATCACACGAGTAAGACGCTTGCTTGCGGGGTTAAAATCCCCCCTTTTTTTTCAATAGAAGGCAAGTGAGTTACTAGTGACTGGCCTAGAATAATTGTGACTTTCGTCTGGCCGTGTTCAAGTGTAATTTGGCCAGACAAATAGACAGTCGTGCAAAGGCTGCGATTGTTCGGGGATTGGTCCCAACCCGCTTTCCACCGTCCAAATTACTTTGTCTGGAACATTTAACACTCCGTACGTCTATGCAGATTACTTTAAGCCACTTGGTCTCGATCCCTGGTTCCATCACCGCTTGTTGATGACCTGCCTGTAGACAATTTAGATAACACCACGAGCTGAGAGTGCAATCTAATTGGCAAAATTAATCATCGTGCATTAAAGAAAAGCGCGAATGACACTTTGTGCAGCGCATCAAAGATCACAAAACACAAACTGATGTTGCAGTATTCCCAAATCGTGATGTTGTGCCGTCAGGAACGTCGAAAGAAGCATAGCGAGCAAGTGGAGCGAAGCATGGACGACGGACGTGGGTCCGACGGTCGTTCACGAGTATGACAAGAAGACGAGAATCTCGTCAAGAATTTGGTGCCCTATCATCGTCGACGTCGAGGTTCCGAAAGAGGCAAATCGAGCCACGTGGGAGTGTGTAACGGACCGAGGCTCGGGGCAAAAGCGATGGCTCGGGGAAAAGCCGGAGCCCGACCGATGTCGGAGCGCAGGCCTGCGACGCTCTCCGCCTGAGTCAGCAGCGAACCGACCCAGCTGGACTCGAGACCTTCGCCGAATTGGCTTAGAGCTCCGCCAAAGTTTGGCGGAGCTCTGAGCTGTTTGCAGGCCAAACTGACCAAGCAGCGCGGTGTGTCAGCTCTCGTGGAGTCCACGCGCCTCTCGCAATGCGGCTTCCTGTGCTGAGTTGTCCGGACACAAGGGAGGCTCGGAGACGATTCTGTCGCTCTCTCGTCCACTTCAGCAATCGCAGCATCGCAGTTCCCAGTTGCACGAGACAGAGGCGGCACGAAGGCAGAACGCCTTCGCTTAGTCAGCGCGAGGCGTGAGTAGGCGATGAGAGACGAGCCAAGGGGAGGCAAGTGAGGAGTCGACTCGGATCGTTCCCGTCCATTTCAGCAGCGGAGTCTTTTGAGGGCTCGATTATTCGGCTTCGACAGATCGGGTCGATAAATCACCCCTCGTTCTGGTTGAATGTGCTGACATTGAAGCAATCATAATTGTACAGCACCTACCACCTGCCCCATATTTGTTGCGCTTATAATATTGAACCCGCGGCGAGCCTCATCTTCTGTGGCGCTCAGAGCATTCGTTCCGTACAGCTGGCGTGGAATTTGTAGCTGTAGCGTCTGGCATTTCCGGCTTGTGTGAGGGTATGGGTTTATGATCAGCGTCGGCGGTCGTTTGTTTGTGGGAGTGTGTGTTCGGGTGATCCTTCTGGCACCCTGTTGTGGGCTTAGGATCGGATTTTCTTTACTGCTCAGCTGTCCGCGAGCGGGCGGCGGCTCGTGCGGCCTTTCCATGATTGTCTTGGGGAGTCACCTCATTTTGCGTCCAGTCTCGTTTAATGTTCGATGCTCTTTGCCACCCTCTTCTCTCCAGATCAGGAAGCTTTCCATCATGCCGGGAGGTTCTGGAACGAGCCATCCGAGCTTGCTGTTTCGTCAGCTGTTTGAGAAGGAGTCGTCCACGTACACTTATCTGTTGGCTGATTTGAGTGATCCTGACAAGCCTGCCGTGGTGAGTAAGCTCATATTTCATCTCTGCCTCGTGCAGTTTGGTCGCAAGAAGACGATGAAAGATCGATGTCATGTGATCAATCCGCCGTCATTTGTCCATGGCATGGAAGTAAGAGTAGAAGACGTTACACTAACATGCGGTATGAGCAAGGCTTTTACTTTTGGCATATTTACTTGAGATCTATGACATTCGATCAAGAGTGCGTCAACTACTTCGCAGCAATGTGTGAGCTCATCCTCCGTTTAGATTCGTCACAGAAGCGTTTATGCTAAATGTTCCAAGTGTATGAAACGTACCGCATGCTACTACCGTAGTTGAGAGCGTACTGTTATGAAAGAGTAACCTACCTTGAGTCGTACGATCTTCTCACCTCTGCCTCTTGCGTTATGTGATAAGATCACGATGAAAGAGAAGCAGAGTAAGACGGAACGATTTTAATTTCATAAAATTCAAATACATTCCTCGGGGATGAACCAGGGATCTGATAGCTCAACACTTGATATTTTCGTAGCACATGTGAAAGAGAACGATTTCTTTCAATACAGTATCACGAAGCGAAACTCCTTCCCCAGCACTTTCAGTAACATATGCAAATATTTATATAACACAGGAAAGCAGCGAATGGCATCTTGTTTCATGCAAGTAGAGCTCTGACGACTACGTTTATCTTTTCCATTCGCAGCTTGTGGATCCAGTCGACCGTACCGTGGAAAGGGACTTGAATCTTATCAAAGAGCTTGGTTTGAAATTGCTTTACGCGATAAACACACACGTCCATGCGGATCATGTTACAGGGACGGGCTTGTTGAAGGTTAGCTGAATATCTGAATTATAAACACGAAACGTAAATTTTATGCGGATATGAGGCACCTACTGGAGAAAGCAATGAGATTTTAGTATGCATGCTGTTCTTACTGATTCATTTAAGAGGCCAATCTTTAATTTGGTTTTATAATGTTTTCATAATACGCCTTCTGTTTCGTCATGTGCAAGACCAAACTCCCAGGAGTTCAATCCTTGATATCCAAGGCAAGTGGTGCGAAAGCTGATCATTACGTGGAGCATGGAGACAAGATACAGTTTGGCAGTTTATATCTGGAGGTACATATGTTGCTTATTCTGAATCTCATACGGGTCCTGGCTTTGCGAAAACAGCTCATAATTGCGAAGTAAGCATATTGGAAGTAGATAACAGTGATCATGTAATTATAAACTCTCGTCTGTTGTCCGGTGAAGAGCAGGTCAGAGCCACACCTGGTCATACTGCAGGGTGTGTAACATATGTGTCAGGAGAAGGCCCTGATCAGATATCTCCACGACTGGCATTCACCGGGGACGCTCTACTTATCAGGGGCTGTGGACGTACTGATTTCCAAGTAAGCTTTTAATCAGTACTAAATAATGCGATGATCGGGGATTTGCTTCTGTCTGAATAGTGGGATTGGCTCGCTATGAACTATCTTCCTTCCTTTTGAGGCCAATGTTGATCATCGTTTCTCAGTCTGACGTTCATACGACAAGTTATTCGAGGATGCCTTACTTGGATATTCAACGATGTTGTTCAAGATAAGGATCGTTTCCACTGTATTAATAATTCTTCTAGGGTCATTTCATTCATGTTATAAGTTCTCAAACTCATCGTACGTTGAGTAATGCTTTTAACTATTCTACTAATTCTTCCGGAGAGCAATGTTCTCTCAGGACTATTAATATCTAATAAGATTTTCATGACTGGATACTAGGGAGGAGATCCAGCTCAACTGTACAACTCAGTACATTCACAGGTATTGTCTGTTTGATCTTCACACTTTGTACATATATCAGCATATTCTTGTCTGTGAGAAAAAGGTCGATTTCCATCTCCAGGCCCTTTGTGATAGCTACTTTAAAATTTATGTGGCGTTCCGAACAACCTGAACATGTTTTAGATCTTTCACCAAGCAGCAGATTCTCGTATTCTTGTGTTGGTTGACCATTCATTTGGTCTCCTACCGTCCAACTGACGCTGACAATCGTCTGAGTGGATGTTAGTCTTCAGATGTGCTAATATCTTGTCTTTATTTTTTACTTTTTAACTTCTAACGAGCACTTTGAACACTTAATCTTTTCTGCAATCAGATATTTTCTCTGCCAGAAGAAACATTTTTGTACCCTGCGCATGATTACAAAGGCCAGACGGTAATTTCTCAATAGCGCAATTCTCGATGATGTGGCACAGCTTGCATTTCGACACAGACTCGTTTCGTTTCTACAGACTAAGACTAGAAATGGAATTCTAAGGTTGATCGAAATGGCATTGTGGACGATGTATATTGTGTTCTACGAATGATCTTGAGTGTTTGTCGACTGGCAGGTAACTACGGTTGGCGAGGAGAAGCTGTACAATCCAAGGCTGACGAAAGATTTGGTGCAGTCTCTATCATAGACTAACTTGAACAATTCGCATGAAGCGTATCTAGCATTTGCTTGTTATGACAAAAGGAATCGATTGTCCTGTGTATAGTGATGCGGTTTATTATGTCTCAACTATACTGAACTGGACGTATGGACTTATTTACTTGTTAGGATAGGATTTGGATAGGCCTTTCTTAGTTGCTGCTAAATTAAATCTATGGTCGTTCGTATTGACAACGTTGTCGTTGCGGCGCAGGAAGGATTTAAGACCATCATGAGCAGTAAGTGAACATCATGAACGTCTACTTTCCTTTTCGTTCTTCTTCCATTATAGATGGCTTTATGATTGACAATTACTGGAGTGGATTACATAAGGTAGCTGGCTTTCTCATGACTTTCTTTAAGGCGAACCTTGTTCAGAGGCGGTAATTGACTACCGATTTCTGATTGTTGCGTTTCCTTTTAGAGTTGTTTCAATGTCTATTCACATCTTATTGTAGAGGTTGTCTAAGATGCTCCCTTTGCTGCGCAGATTTGAATTTGGCATACCCAAAAATGATCGACATTGCTTTACCATCGAACATGAAGTGCGGAATACAAGATGAATCAAACGGATCCACAGGCTCGTCATTATGAGTCTCAGGGAGCTGTACGCTCTTCGTAGATGTACAGGAGACTCATTCTCAAAATTGGCATTTTACAGTAGGCTGATATTCCCATTACCTGTAAATCTTGGTATATAATAGTAAAATGTGAACCACTGCATAGGCTTTCAAATGAAGACGGTCGAACCTTGTCGTTGAGAACGCTTAGCCTTAAGACTTTTTGTCTGAGCGGTTTGACTGGGCAGAGGTCTCGGTACTTATAGATGCGGAAGATGTGGGATGCTCCTTGTCAGATTGTACGTAGTGCATTGTCAAGCGACAGTTATTGGACTTCGTCACCACGTCGGAGCAACGCCTGACATTCTCAGCTCCAACAGTCGGAACTGTCCACTAGGACGCTGCAACATGAATCTGTAAAAGCTCATTGACTGTTATAAAATTAGTGTACGGAGATGTGCATGAGCACTGTGGTAAATAGAGTAATGTGCAAAAGATGTGCGTCGAGTCAAGGTGTTGTATGATTGGTGAGCCAAGAGTTGTGGTGTATGCAACGACGCCGCACTGACGTGAAAGAGCTTCAATTCACAGTCGGACGGAAGCTGAAGAATATATTTTCAGGGTGAAATTCCGACAGCTGAGATGTTTACTTTCCGTTGATGCACATTTAGGCTTTCCTCGCATCTTTGTTCTTTACGACAATGGTTACATATAAAACATGTTACAAAAATCGGTTGTTTCGTGGAGAATTCAAACAGAGAAAATCAGAAAACATCCACATCGAGAAACTTCTAAGGACGGCAGCCACAGATAACAGAAAATGGAAGGTACGGAGGTAAATTTCAGTGAAGCTTGTTGTGACAATTCTCGATCGTGGATACAGTACAAAGAATTCTGCAAGACTCTGATTTTTGTCCATGTTACGAGCTGATATATCAACGACAAGGTAGTCAGCTGACACACTTCTCTCGTTCACGTTACACGAGGCCTTAGCAGCTTCAAAGAGAATGAGCAGCGATACTCGTTCCTGACTATACCGACTGCAGTTAATTTACACTCGATATAATTGTCATCTTTGCAGAATCGGCCAAACTGCGTGTTGCATTGCACAGTTTTGATTTTAAAATGGGCGTAAATTTTATGGGTTGCACAATTCTCGGACATCTCGAGATTGCCCAGCTCTGAGTGTAGCCATCGCTAGGGCATGGCCCCAAAACACTTGTTTTGTACTCCTGTACAGCCTTCCTTACATACCCTGCCTCATGAAGGACGATCCTCGCTGGCCTGCAGCTAAAAGTCCTGTCGAAGATATAGCTCCTTTGTTGTCAACACGTGAAAGCTGCTGTCTTCCTTCAAGGGTTCTATGACTCAGTTGTTCTCATCTCTTCCCATGGGCCAAGATATGTTCTTCACGGGCTGCAGAATACTCTCTACCTCGTCTAGGAGCTCGGAGTCCAGACCATTGCTAACTTCCAGGGCTGCTTGCACATTGCTCCGGACCTGACGACACAGAGGGCACAATCGAGAACTCAAACGTCGGTCAATCGAGCCTTTAGGGGCATTCCAAACATCACGAGATCCACAACCATTTGATAAAAAGGACAACGACGGAAGAACGAACTAAGTGGGCTGGCTTATAAACACAAAAGCTTGCTCTTGCTCACAAGCCAACGAGTGTGTAGATGATCAAGTGGGTTGGAGATGAGACCTGTTCGACAGAACACATGCCTACGAGAACCGTAGCAATGTCAGGGTTGCTCAGTGAATACTGCAGAGCCAGCTTCGTTATATCTTTCCCTTTACTTTGACAGTGTGCAGCTGCAGCTGCGCATGCGTCCTGGAGGCAGAGCAGGGCAGAGCAGTGCGGTCAGTTTCCACTGAAAATGACTGAACTGCTCGATTTCAGCGAATCTCTCACAAAATAGGAGCGGATGGACGAAAACAATGATACCTTGAGCTCTTGGGGAGCTGGATGCCATTCAGGAGGACCTTGTGGTGTAAGCAAACCCATCGACAGTGGCGAGGCACTGATGACACCCACACCTTTGCTCTTCAAATAAGGCAGAGAATTCAGCAGCGAGTTGTCATTCAGCCCGTAATGACAGTAGGACAGTATCACATCCACAGTCCCCGGAGGCACTCGATCCAAAACATATTGGTAAATTTTCAGTGGAAGACCTGTGATGCCGATGAATCTCACTTTTCCGGCCTCCTTCAGTTTCTGGAGGGCAGGGATGGTTTCCGCAATGATCTGGCGCACAAAAACAACATTCAGTCCAGTCGTCTGTCAGTATCGGCACCCTAAGGTCGGAAACAATCAATTCCCACTCCTGCAGGGGCCCACGAGCTAAGCTAAGAGAACGGACCCAGTCACTCACTTGGTCCAGAGACGCAAACTCGATATCGTGGCACTGGATGATGTCGATGTAGTCGACATTCAACCGCTTCATGCTCTCGTCGACGCTGGCCGTCACACGATCGGCCGAGAAGTCAAATCCAGCTCCATAACGTCCAACCTTGGTGGACAGCACGTACTGCTCTCGGGGAACAGGCAGAGCTTTCAAGCACTTGCCCAGCATCGTCTCGGCGAGGGTGTCGCCATAGTACCTGCAGCAAGCAAGCAAGCAAGCAAGCAGGCAGGTAGGCAGTGAGGGGGGCGTACAATCGAGGATCGGAGGTGCGTGGAAAGATTTCATATTCATGACCCAAGTTCGACGAATTTGATGCCAGGCGCGTCGAAGAAGCAGAAATGGAAAGGAATCGGTGAGCGATTACGGTGAGCAATCGAAAAAGTTGATACCCAAGCGCACGGCTTCGTTCACACTCGCGATGGCGTCTGCCTCCGTGACTTTATTGCCGAACACATTGCCCAGAGGCGATGCTCCGAATCCCAGGCAGCTCACCTTGAGCCCTGTTGCTCCCAGCTCCCTCAATCCCAGACTCCCCATGTCTCCCTCCCTCCCTCCCTCCCTCCGTCTGTCACTAATTCTGCCGCACGGCTCCTCTGCTTCTTCCGAGCTTTTCAGGGGATGGCGAAGTCCAACTACTCGACCATAATCCCTTTGTGCCGGGGACTAAATAAGCACTCTGCTACGGTATCATTCCCTTTTAGGATCTTCGTGGCGCCTGATTGATTCCTGACGGTCTTCCATCGACCACGCACGCGCTCGCTCTCTCACGGGCCGTAACCCTCACTCTGACCCTGTAATGATCCGTCCGACCACTTGCCACATGTCCACGGACCTCCTAACAAATCTCGCTCTGTCTCGGGAAGGGAGGCAATTCCTTATGGAGCCGCGAGGTGCAGATCGTCTGCAAGGTCACGAACGAATGGACCGGGAAAATGAACTGACGAGGCACGAACACTTTTCAACTAGGAAGTGGACGGAAGGAGGGAGGGCGTGCATACGGCGTACACTGAAGGCCATACCAAAGGTGGTGATGCCCTGCTGCTGCTGCTGCTGCTCGTGCACTATTTACTGCTTTGTGAGCTTCGCGGTGCCTTCCTCTTTGCTGCACGCGTTCGGTTTGGTGTGATGGTTGTTGCTATTTTTCTCTTCCCTGACGGTGATCTTCAGAGCTTGCGATCTGGAAATTTACTGGTCGAAAACCCTTGAATACGTACGTATTCAAGGGATGAGGATCAGAGCGAGACCCGGAGAAAATGTGGTCTTATGTAGAACTTGACGAGACGATGTCTAGCTAGCATCGAGTTGTGGGTGACGTGACAGTCCACAAGTTCTTAAAGCTTACTTTAGTCCTGCTACGAGTGCTGCCTCCCTCCTCACTGTTGGACATTTGCACAAGTGAGAATTTCGAAGAAAAACCTTTGATCCAGTTCGATAGAAACACACTGCGGAAGAAGTGGTGAAGAGATTTCTGCACATGAATAATCGACCGTACGTGTTCGAGCAACGAGACTCATCTACAAAGTCAGACTCCGGAAGAAAGAAATGTGTCTCTGCCCTGCATGCTTGGGTTTCATTTGTATGGGAACGAACGTTGCCATGGTGCGAGAGCGACAAGGTGTCAACAGCCGTGCCTATGAGTCAAGCTAGTGGAGAAAGTGATCCCCTGTTGAAGTGTTTTGGTACGTGTTTGGGAACACGTCGAGTTGGACTATATATATAATACAGAGAGAGTAATATTATTAAGAGCTTCGCACACGCAGGCTGATTGGCAATTATATCAACAAGTTTTCACAGGGGCGTGAATCACATCACAAGTCTAGAATATGAGAACGCTCGAAAATCATCTCCAACTGAACACTTTGACATTCGAAGTGATTGCAGATAATTTCTTAGTCAAGGATTGACCTGGCACACCACTTTCTACTGATTAAGTCCGTGACATTTAGACAACAGAAAAAGGATGGTAAGAACCTATCAAATATATATATATATATATATATATATATATATATATAAAAATAAAAAAACAGCAAACCATGGGCTAGGTCCCAATATGATCACAGTCATGAATCTATCCTACAACACTTAAACATTTTGGAACCATCAAGATCAAACCGACAAGATGCAATGTGGTATCACGTTAAGTGATTGATCTCTTTCGTATAATACTACAGTACCAACTCACAAAACGGCCAAATGGTCGGAAATACTCTGTCAAGCCAGGGGCTAGGCCTAGATAGTAATATGGTGAGAATCAAAAGCAAGTGCTATTTAGTACAAATACAAATGGATTTAGATTACTGCTAAAACCAGAGTAACAAACACCGAAGTGTCAAAAGGTAAGGTCTACTACTCCAAGATCAAACAACTTTATGTTTCATGCATAGTCCAGCTATCTAAGAGTAAACCACTTTCGTGATTTGAATCGCTTTTTTCCTCCTTTTACCTTCACTGCTGTGTGTTACATAAACCTGCACGCTCTCCAAATTCGAAGAATGGCTCATAGTAGTCGTTGAATGCCAACGTGCAGCTATAAAACGGGGAGCAATACTACGGCCTATTAAACTGTTTCTCCATACCTTCTTCGAGCTAACTTAGAATACCAGAAGTTACGGCGAGTACTTGAGTGAGGAAGTGGTCGCTGTAAAAGACAAACTGGTCGACACTTGCGCAGTTGGATCAAATGGTAACACTGCAGTTCAGCTCCAGCAAGTGACTGCGCAGTAACCGACGCTTGTGGGCGATGGAAACGTTAACTATACGACGCTAATCTATAACATTCACTTTATACTACTCAATCAATCATAGATCTGCAGTAACATTTTTCTATAGCAAGACATAATAGTCACTACGTGTGTCTACGTTATATACCATCGCAGACACATGGAGAGTAAGAATGACAATTTTTTTTTTGCATAAACTTGACGGCTTTCTCTATTCTCTCATTATAACATTTTAAGTTGTATGGAAATTTCACATCGGGGGTAATAACAAGCACAATTGACCCTCCTTCTAGCAAGAAAATCAAATCAGCTATGTGAAATGCCCAAGGTACTGGTACGCTGTTGAATACTGTGAGCAATCACCTCGAAAAGCATATATTTTCTACACAGGTGACAGAGCTAGTTAAATTTGACCTCAGAAGAGTGTGATAGTTCATACACCGGGGCCCTTATAGACTAGGTACTATGTAGAATGGAAGAAGCTCAAATTTCAATTTCTGTTCTGATTCTGGCTCGACTGCAGATGCAAAAGGAGCTAGTAGCTTGATTACAACATCTTTATTTCATTCTGTGTCAAGATTTTGTGGCTCTCTCTTTGTGAGCCTGGAAGAGGCTCAATTCCCTCGACAACCATGTTCCTAATTACATCTCAGTTGCCTTCGTTTGTTAAATTTCGTGTCTCAACAAGCTTATCGTCTGCATCCACTTGCTAGGGACATTAGTCTAGCCCCACGTTAGCATACCCCGCTGAAAAGTATTCACGGCTTTAACTCCAAAAAAACTTGAAGCTTCCAAACATATCTAATCATAGAAATGAACTCTTTGATTTCTCCATGCACCAAAAGTCAGCCTGCATATGTTATATGTTACAACCATTCTTTTCACAGTTTTAGTCACAAGCCACATCTTCATAAATTTATGTCATTGGAGATGTAACAGATTCATTCATAAGAATTTAATCCTTAAAAATCCTCATTGGAACTCTACTACATTTTATTTATGAGTCTGTCTTCAAAGTCCATAATAAATAGTATGTAAGTTACTTGTGTATAATCGTAACATGAATTAAAGATCAAAGTCTCTAGTGTAACCATTGTATGTGTTGGTTATGAATTCACCGACCATGAGCTTTAAGCTAGAGTTGAGTACTGTGTTCATGGCGAGCATGGGCCGTGCTATCTGTGCTTAGGCATCTAACGGTACTAGGTTGGTCTTGTCACTGCATGTAAGCAGTTTTTTCATGGTTTTAGGTCCTTGAAAGAATCAGGTTAGAGTCTATCCATGGTGCGACTAACCGTTAGACGCACCATGCACCATCAGGCTAAAATTTGCTACATTAGATGAGTATAGATATGCTTGTAATTTTTGCAGACAGATTTGACCCCAAATTAATGGACTCCGTTAAAGGAAAGAAGTACAGTTCTTTCTTAGGTTTGAAACGCTGAATTGTATATCTGGTGGGTAATAGTATTGAAACCCATAAAGGTTTGGCTATACCCAGGTTCTTTTGCAAATTCAGCGTCACTGTTGAACAAGGGGGCGCTATTATCCTAGAATTCGTTGCGTACGGGGAAAATGTATCTGCTTAGTATAGAAACTGGACTTGGGTCTATATAACGTTTAACCTGCAGCGTAAGGATAAGGATGAAGTTTCAAAACTCAAAGCTTTTTTTTCATTTTCTTCAAAGCCGGTTTAGAAACTGAAATTCATGTATTAAATTTTGAAGTCTCCTTTAAAAATCTTAAATTCTAAAGATTTAGTTTCGCCGTTCGTCGTCTGCAAAATATTTGACTCCGGATCTGGAGCTGGTGATAAAAGGTTCAGGGCCTTTTGCAAATCGTGGTTATCTTATCCCCGGCTGGACTAGAGTTTCGAGGATATGGTCGTATTTTTTTCGTAAGCTATCTGCGTTTGTCTAACAGCATTTTTGTATTTTAGTAATTTCATTTTGGCCGTATATATATATATATATATATATATATTTTTGATCAAGTGCGTTGTCCGGGCGTGGACCATGTCTCCCGAAATTGATGAATCAGTACTATTTCTCATAGTGTATTTGCCTTTTTTTATTTCATTTGAAGCATTAATGACACCGGCTGGCCACCACTGGGTTTCTCAGCGCCTTGTATCATTAATCTAGTCCCTAGGGGAGGTTCGAACGATGCTCGGGAACCAAGCTTGGATTAGACACGATTTGCAAAAGGCCCTGAACCTTTTATCACCAGCTCCAGATCCGGAGTCAAATAAACGATTGAATTGATACGAGTGCGCAATTAGAGTGCTTCGCGAATGCCACAAGATCTGGTTTACAGGATTTGAGACCGTGCACAGGTAGGACAAAAAAATCTATATTGTTTTCCAGAAACTTATCCTTATTATTTTCTCCCTTTTTTTTTGTCTGTTTTTTTCGCCCCATTTTTGTCAGACAGTCCCTGGCCCTTCCGAGGGAGTGCTAAAAACACGCAAAGCAAAAAAAATATTTTTTTTTGTTCGCGTAGCGCCGGGCTCCCCTAGGGACTAGATTAATGATACAAGGCGCTGAGAAACCCAGTGCATTTTTTTTGAAAAGAGCTTTTATGAATCTTATTGGTTTCAAAAGTGTCTTTTTTAATGTCTTAATTTTTGACTAAGCAGAATTTACTGTCTTCCGGACCGTCAAGTACTTCAGTACACTGTTGTAACAATTTGACGGTAAGGTAGTTAGGTGGTGAGGGGGGGCAGAAAACGGCAGTTTTCTGGCACAAACGCTTAATAACGCAATACGCTATTCATGCGGCTATTTACGATGCTTTTTAGTATGTTGAACTAACCAAGATTTGGCGAAGTGACCAAAATTTGGTCAAAGGATTTATTTTGAATTCAGTGAAAGGAGGTTATGCTGTAGCAATCGCAGGTTATATAGCTTTTCTTCCCAAGAGTCTTCTCAGAAGTAGCCGTTTCCGTTTCTATGACCAGCATTTGTTTATGTATTCACATTTCAAATTGTTCTCTAGAATTATTTTTCTTGCAATGGGCAGGCGATGCCTCATGTAGTGGGCTCTTTAGTGGTTGGTTAAGATGCATTACAGTGTTCAAGTGAGGTTAAAGTGTTCTTTTCTTGCCGATGCATGAGGTAATGCATAGGGTTTCATCTCAAAGAAATATTTGTGTCATAGAAAAAACGTCATATTTATTCATAGTAATTAGCAAGCAAATTCTTAGACTCTGTATAGTAAATTGTTTTCAAGCTAAGAGAAAATGCGAAGCAGCGTTAATATTAGTATAAGTAGGAGGTGGTTCCAAAAGATATCGCCTGGGGAGCATGTGACGCCTTCCCACATAGTTATAATTAAAAAATGTGGGAGGGCACAAATGAATTTCTCAAACTCCCAGCTCAATGGTGCACCCAACGTTGAATGGCCATATTCGCCAGCTTTAATTCCCAATGAAACAGCACTTCCACTAGAAAAAAAAAAGGGCAATTCCAAGCCAGAAGAGAACAAGAAGGCCACGTGCAGAAAATGAAATCCAGGCGTGAGAGCGAAGAGATGTCAACAGGAGCTCTACTTGTGAATGTGAGCGAGGGGTGAAGAAGGAACGCAGGCTCTTCTTGAGAAGAGGGCCAACACAAACAACCCTCCAAACACAATTTTTTGGTCGTTGCTCCGGAAACTGTACCAGGGGCTAATAACATTGAGTCATGAGCGGGCAGGCACATGCTGCTGGCGTCCAATGGGGAGAATGGGGATAGGCGGTAAGTTTGGGCACTAAATAACGTGGGCCAAGCTCGAGGTCAACGAGCCCAGGAGAAAGAATTAACGAAATACCCATATCTCGGATGAGGAAATTTTTCTACACTCAACGAAGCCTCACGTTTTACAAGGGTACTCAATTTACTCATCGATACTGCTCGTCCTGTAAGAACTAAGCAAGCAAGGGGAGCGCCACTCAATCTCTTCAAAGCAGTCAAATGTACTTGTTACGTTTGCGCTCAAATTGCAGTGTACCATACGCGTAGACCGTACGGCCATGGACTTGAACTGTGCGATCCGTGTTTGTGTTGAATATTTGTATGTACAATCTCACTCGAAGGGAGCTCAGATCTTACGTTCCCGGCAATCAATCCGTCTGGCCTACAGTAGTTTGAAACATGTACTGCGCTGCAGTGACACATATTATGGGAGGCATTCTCTCACGTTAAGGAAACTTCATAATGTTCCTTCGTCAGCCAGCTAGCTACTCAGAGTCACTCACTAGTCTCACCTCAAAGCTCAAAGCTCACAGAGTGGAAATGAAAAACAGCATTGACTGCTCCTCTGCACGCTGTGTGGTGTCCGCATTCCTGGGCCACATCCGACTTCAAATTATCCGGCCCTGACACCAAAACCCCGACCTCCTGTCCGTCGTAGTGCTTTGTCAGCTGATCGAAAACTTCTGCACGGCAAAGCCACAGGTCCTTCAGCTCAGGGTCGAATGTAGGCAGAAGAAGAGCATTAGATAAGACACAGCGGATGACACCACTGAAAGAATGAAAGTTGTAGCTGAATGAGCTATGGATTTGTCCTCACCGTTCCAGTTGGGCCTCAAACCCAGATGCAGATCTCCTCTCCACGGCGAGCGATGTGCGGATTCGAGGTCATGGTTCGGCGACTGAAGGTTACTTCTCCGAACGTGAGTGCTCTTGAGCCCCTTGCAGCCAGAGGTGCACATGCCTTGGGATGCGTCGGCCCTGGAAAGAGTGATGGACCACAACAGTATGACACAACCTCCGCACACCACCACGGCCAAGATGGCACTGGCCAGAAACAGCACAGACTCTTTGTAGTTCTTGTAGTGAGCTTCGTTGTGGTGAATGAAGATGACATTGGCCAAGCCCCAGAGAACCATGAATCCCAGTATGGCTGCCACGATCGTGGTCGCAACCCACACGCTGCTGCCCGCAGCCGACAGGAGCGACACGCCTTGGATATCCGGAGCCTGTGTTTGGATCTCGAAGGTGGGCTTGGCGTACACGAAGCTCCAGCCGCCGTAAGTTTCCAGGTCCACGGTTCCCGAGGGCTTATTCTCCAGACTGGCCGGGTAGTCGGCGATGGTCGTGCTGGTGCAGTAGGCGTGGATCCTGATTTTCACTATGCTCTGGAAGTCGGGAAGAATATCTCTGGGGTCGAGCGTGTTCAGAATCGCCAGGTCAATGGGTTTTCTCGCGCAGTAGAATAGATTGATCACCTCGGGCAGCCCTTCCTGATTCATTTTGTATCGGTAGAGGATGTCCCGCAAGATCGCCAGGAAAGGTGTAATCCCTATGCCCCCAGCTATGAGAACCAACGTTTTGTAACTGCACCACCGACATTCAGAAGCTTCAGAGGGAGGAGCACGATTCAGAGTTTGACAAGACATTGAACACGGCGCAGGCTCAGAGCAGAGCATGGGGTCCGAGAGTCATCGTCCAGCGGCATTCATTCAAGACTCGTGGGCGAGAGCATGGGACACGGAAGGAACTGAACTTACTTCAAGTAGAAATCGGCTTCATCTCCATAAGGACCTTCCAGGGAGGCCTTGAACGAGAAGGGGCACCGATGCACCTTTCGCCCCGAGAAGATGTCCGTGATGCCTCGAGTCCAGCCTCCGATAGGCTTGATGCATATCGACAGCTCGCTCTTCTTGTCCAGCCGGCTCGAGGTCACACTGAAGGGATGCCATTGCAGCCTCGACACGCTCGGCAGCAGCACAAACACCACGCTCAATGGGTGATATACGAAGTCTGCAAATCCAGCAGTCCAGCCGCCAGCAGCGAACTCAGTGAGTTGAGACTTGGCAGGCAGAGAGAGAGAGAGAGAGAGAGAGAGAATTCGACAGCGAAGAGGGAAGGAACGAAACGCACTTGGAGGTGTGAGGAACTTGAGCTCCACTGCGCCGGAAGGGAGAAGTCTGGCTTTCAGAATCTCCACATTCTTCCGAGACTGGACGAGCCGAATGAAGCGGTCGATGAAGTAGAGCAGGACGGGAATGGCCACGTAGTACACGGCGGAAACGACGTGACAAGCGAACAGGATGAAGAAGGCCACGTAGAACTGGTGGATATTGTAGAACAGATCGAACTGCTTTCTCCGCACGATGGGCAGTGCCGTCAACCACATCACCAATCCGATAATCAGGGCACAAAACCCACAGATTACAGCTGCTCCGGGACTGGTTCTCCACGTGAAAACCTGAGCAACAGTCCAGTCAAATCACGTCGCCGTATCAGTGCGGCACTGCCAGAAACTCTTCTCTTCATCAAAGCTGATCAATCGGGTCCAATAAGATCGACAGGCAAGGAAGAACCCCTCCCTGCCTCCTTATCAACATCGCATGACCGAGAAGTTCAGATTGCTGCAGATACGTACGTGCTTCACTTGGTGGTTGGCTGCGAAGAAGACGATGAATGTTGCGGCATGGGCCGCGAAGAGAGACAGAGCGATTTGCGCGAGCCATATGTGGTAGCGAACAGCATGCTCCCACGGCAGCCTGATCACGCGCAGCAGCGGCGACCCTCGAGTGACAGGAATCCAGAGCAGCGCGAAGGGAATGAGTGCTGACCTCGCCAGATTCACCGAAATCTCCACGAAGTCGATCGTCCAACTTCACACACAACGCGCTGCTGTTCAGACACAGCCATCAAATCCAACCAAACCAAACCAACACCGAAGCCAAAACCAAATCTACCTGCTCATCAATCCATCCCCGCACAACATGATGAGCTCTCCCAAGTCTGCGGGAGCGGGCCCCACACAAAGCTCACACTCGATCGAAGCGTGTCGCTGGATTCTGGTCTGCTCCCCGGGGCTTTGGATGCGTCGTAGATACTAATCATTCATTAGCTACGATATATATACGACTCATTCTCATACCGTACGCTGATTTGACTTAGGTGCAGGTGGATCTCACTTACTTGGCAGGAGCTCCCGTAATATGAGGGCTTCGATTCACGTCCCTGACCTCGACATACGAACTCTTAGCGAAGCTCCATAGCACCAGAGAGAAGATGAACGCGAGAAAACTGATGTCGATGACCGTCAAAACTCCCAGAGGACTTCTGGCGAATACGACGGCGTGCATTGCGTGCTTCAGTTTCAGTGAAGGGCCTTCCCTCCTCAGGATCCTACAACATGAGCCCCACACATCCATGAATACAAAGCACCGGCTTCATTTGCACACTTGGATCAACTCTTCTTCGAGTGCATTTACTACTCAGCGTCTCATGTCTGATTCCATTCACGACTTCGAATTGATTCAGCGCAATTTATCATTATCACTGCAGATCACGCATTCCACTCCAGGCACACCACACTGCAATGTTGTAATTTTTCGAATCCTTGTCGAGTCTTCCTTTCCAAACAGACCGCTGGACCGCCGCTAAGTACTAAAAGCATGAATAGGTGTGTGCCCGAATTCCTGGATGATCATCTCCTCGGCATGTAGACTCGTGGACTTGCCTGGAAGTCCCTGTGGAAGATAGAAAAACCTTCGACAGAAGGAATGAACGGAAGAACTTTCGAGTCCAACAAGATCACACTGAGCGGAATCTACCAATACAAATCGACATTCCCGAATGGAAATTCTTAACAGACACAAATGAAACTTTTCAAAATGTTTGTTTCTTTCGAAACATTGAAAGTTACACAATTTGAAGCGCGACCTATCAGGAACAACGAGCTGGAAACGAAGAATATACAAGATACCTTCTCTGTGCCTCAAGCTCGGGGTCCAAGTCACGGCATCTAGTCCGTCTACTCTACCAAAGCCATGTACAGTTAGTGGAACATTTTCAGCGAACTTCAATTGGATTTTCACTTCGGCCGCCCCGAGCCCGTGAGTAGAATGTGCTAGCAAACGGAGGCGATAATCTCAGGGGTATCTCAGAGAGATCTGTTTTCAGTTGGGAATTTTTTACACGAGTCTGTCTTCGATGATACGACAGGATGAACATTCACGCAAGGAAGAGTGCAAGGAAACGAAGCTGTAGTGGGGCTCGTTCCAAAGGCAGAATCCAGCTGCAGCGAGCTTACCGATCGGAGGGTGTTCGTTTTCTCAGCTCAATGACGACGAAGCTCAGAATCGCTGCCAGGAGGATGGGCGCAGCTTGGAAGATGAAGACTGATCCTGCAAAATCCAGAGGTGTGTCGATCACCTCGACGTCAGAAAACTTCCACGTCTATGATGCTGAAGCTGTTCACGGCCTAAAAGAGCGAGTCCAAGCGACCAGACGAGAACGTCGTTGCACGGGGGAAAATATGGAATGTCACGTCACGTCGAACCTGGTGCTCCCATAAATTTCGAGGTCATGTCGGTGTCCACTCCTGCCATATACCTCTTGCCATATCCCAGCGGCACGAGAATCCAATAGACCGCCCAAACCGCAAAACAAGCTGCAATCAGCGCCTCCAGGAACCGCTTGAGAGCAACAGCCGCGCCCTCCATATCTCTCGAAGGCCGCAGCAGCAGCGCACAATCCCCGACTTCCGCACACCGTCACTCTCTGTGAGACGACGAGCTTCTCAGGCCTTTCCGACCATTTTCTTTCTTCGCTCTTGAACGTCTTCGAGCCCCCGCCCCCTCTCGCCCGCCCGCCACCCTGAACGTCTCGAAAATACGATGCACGAGGCTCCCCCATGCATGCACACATACATACAGACGCGCCCGCGCGCGCACGCACGCACGCACTCATACATACGGCGTCGGTTTGTCTGCTCGGCTCCACCAGTGACCACCGGACAAAACGAGGTGCTCTGTCGACGGTGCATCCGACCGCCCGTCCGTCCGTCCGTCGCCGCGGGATGTGGTGTGTGTGGTCCACGAGAGAGGACGGTCCGTCGACGAGCGAGGGGGTGATGATCAGCGGAGTCACAGAGTCGCAGCGCGCAGGAAGCAACCGAGATAGGGTCCAGGGCGACCATGAGCGACGGGGCAATTAATCAATCGGTGCAGCGGAGCCGTCGCTGACGTTGCGCACAGTGACAGAGTCAGACACAATCAATCGCTCGATCCAAGCCGAGAAGGAAGTCAGTCCGTCAGTCAGTCAGTCAGGCGCTCCGTCAGTCGCACCCAGCTCCCTCATTCGGTCGTACGACGGTACCGCAGTCAGTCCCTGCGGAGCAGCACCTGATCGTCAGTCAGTCAGTCAAAGAGAGAGAGAGGGAGCCCTGCGGAAATTGACATTTCCGGTGCCCTCATAAATTCTTCCTATTCCTTCCTTCCTTCTCTCTCGTCTCGTCTCGTCTCGTGAGTCGTTCTCAGATTGCAGATGCCCCGTCCGCCCGCCCGCCTGCCCGCCTGGCAGGGAATTTCAAAGCCACGGTACACTGTCCCTTGCTGCATCGGCATCCTTTTTCGCCAGATCATCCGGTGCAGCGATCGGGGCGTCCACGTCGGGCGGCCTTCTGCGACGTCGCAGGCGAGAAGTATTTCGGCCAATTAGACGCGGCGTGCGAATTTAAGCCGAGTGGGTGAGTGCAGGTCGTGAATGCTGCACGAGTCGCAGGGCCAGTTGTGGGATGCGTTCATGCACGCTCGTTGCCTTGCTTCCTTCCGCTGCTGCGTTCGACGTCGACATGGCCTTTCTTAGCGTGGTCAGTCAGTGTCCAGGAGGAGGCGCAGGATGCAGTGGGACGACCACGCCGACGTGCATGGGAGTCGGACTTGTGTGCCCTGCATGCAATGCAATGTTGGTCGCTGATTCCGATGGAGATTACTTTGCGTAATCATGGTTATCATGATGGTCATTAGGCTCGACATTAGGCCTGTAACCTTCTCTCTTGGCCGTTGGTAAGTCATGCTTTGGAGCACTCTCTCCTCCTTCGATCCGATCGAATCAGGTCTCGTCAGGCCGTAATCATATCTTGCTCCCTAGCGCCTATTTCCCACCATAAAATATCTGGAAAAGGGTAAATGACACTGACTGTCTTCCGATCCTCTGTACAGGACCACCGTCGTTTATTGTTTAGGTCCTGTACAGAACATCTTCGGTCCTCTGCTACGGCATTCGATTCATTTCCCGACACCCTGCACCTTCAGAAAGTCTCGACTTTGTTCCTTGCAGTTCTTCTCTCGGTGTCTTATCCTCAGGCGTTTGTTTTTTATGTTTTATTTTCACGAGAATGTTCGACCTGTCTCGTCAACAATCAGGCCACGCCCCTTTTTGTCGTCAACATTTCCTCTACAGGAGTACCATATACCGGGAGCAGTGTTGGTAGACCTTAGTGTATACTGTGGTTGCTGGACCTCAAGTCTGAAGAAGTCCAAGAATGGCAAAATGGCTTCATTCAATGGTGGTAATCGACGTGCAACGAATTACTGTTCCTTCAAAGTTCGCATCTGCTGTAAGTATGTCCTTTGGCAAAGAACAGTCACTTCAAAACAATCACCATTTGACGAGGCACATCACTGTAATGAATGGCTCCTTCGCATATAACAGGGAACTTCAGAAATATATTCTCTATCTTACATTGCAAGGAAAGTCCAAACTATGAAGTGAAACGATCAAGTCTAGTGGGGTTCATTGCAGGGACGGAGTAGCAGGAGTTGTCACGGTCACAATTCGTCATGTTCTCAGATGTCGTCGGGACGGCGTCAGGGGTGAGCTACGATTATGGGAGGCCCCAGCTGCTGCCGGCCGTAAGAGCAGAACCAACCACAATTTTTGTAGCGATTTCAATATTATCACAACTTATCTTTACCAGTCAGACATACTGAAACACGGACCAGGGTGCTCCAAGAGATCATTGCTAGGTATGAAGTTCACTTCTAATATGAAATCATCGGAAACAAAAAGTTGGACTGTTTTTTTCAGTCCAGCCTTCAGTTACGACACAGTGAGGTAGAATGATGACACTAGTACTGACAGTAATTTCAAGTGAGAAATGACAGTGAAAAGGTGACCATAGATCTAGAGATAAGAGGTTCGTGTGGTCTTTTGACAAAAAGCGAAAGGAGAAGATACATGCCTCGTGATTACATTTGGCCATACTTCTGATATCGGAAACATTCCAGAATCATGGGAAGATGGTACAAGCGCTCCCAACTTTCGTCCTTGATGCAAATGCCTTTATAACTTTGGAAATAACTTTGGAAATAACTTTGGAAGTGATCTGGGAGTCAAAGCGTGCATGATGTTTGTCTCATATATCTGGAAGAATTCCCACCTTTTTCCGTACACATTTCTTCCCTTCTCAGTAGGTGATTTTTGCACCATACACAGCTTTTGACATACAACCCGTAGGTAACGAGCAAGATCCGATTCGATGCCGGGGCTTATAATGTGTGCGGTAGCGTTGCAATTTAGATACACGCCTCAAGGTCATGATGATTCGACATACGATTCCAAAATAAGATGTGTAAGACCAAGTGTGCATAGGTGAAATAATGGTTCTGATCCATATGTGGTCCAACATGCACTGTCTTGTGATTGACAATCGAAGTATATTTAAATGTACATGGGGATATGAATACTCGATCATGTACTTTATATGTCCTCTCCGGATGTACAAATAAACTAAACATGGAGAGTATATTTAGTTAGTAAGATCATAATAGACGTGATGATTCTAACATTGTGACAAAAAGCAGTAATCGTATATCTTCTTGGATACTCACCTAGTTTACCAAAAAGTCACTTTTTAAAAAAAAACATTGCAGTTATGTGGAGTAAATTTAAATTTGAGTTTTACATCCTTACGAAAGATTGTGCAAGAATCTGTCATACTGGACTATAATGATTTCATTAATTTTTTGCTCATTTTTTTAAAATTTTAGTCTTTTATAGAGGAGAAAAAATGTCCTATATATGATAGAATTGAATTTTGTGATGATTTTTCAAACATCAAATTGTTTATAGATTTTTTCCACCTGCATGGCTGGATTTTCTTTTGGCAGTAGATTCATTCCAGATTGTGATTAATTTGAGGCTTAGTTTCATATTCGCAGTTAGTTTAATTCATGCAAAAAAAACCTTAGACCTTGCCATTTTTTCATGTGATATTAAAATATAGAGAAAAAGCATGATGAAACTTGTCATGGCTATGCTTAAGTAGGATTTGCACCAGAAAATACAAACTTAAAACTCCTACTTTCTACGGAAGGATCAAGAATAGGTTTGTTCGTGATAGATTTATAGATTCACAAGCATATAACTTATGGGTTATATATGTTTCCGTAACAGTTCTGGTCACTCTGTATATTTCAAGCAAAAAGAATCATTCTCGTCTTCGGAGCCTAACAAGAATTTGTTATTTTTTTAGTATAGAAATCAATTTGGACCAGTTCAAATGGGTTGAAAAAATTATGATTAACCGATACTTAGTTTCATGATGGTTGCTCAGGTCCATTTCACTAGTTTATATCTTGGGAGCCCCTTATGCAAAAAAATTATAGATTATGTTCCACTCGCGCAATTTTATCGCTTTTGATGAACAGCAATAGCAGTTCAAAAGTACCATAGTGAAACGACCGAGAATAACCATAAAACTATCAGGACTTCGCATAGAACCATCTGGAGAGTAGACCATCACCTAACTGAGTAGAGCATCAACCATGCAATTACAGTACAGTAAAGTAAACTACAAATTCACGGTCTCCAATACGAAGTACAATGCGGCACCGCAAATTCTACCTGCCTAAGTGGAACGCTCTAATTCTCCAAGATTTGTGTCTCTGCGAAGTACAACAGATCAGCCTAATAAGGTACCATCGCTCGCCCAGTCTACTGTGCCAACACAGTAGTAGACTTTACGCTGAGTACGAGCTAGTTCTCAAGCGAATCAATTTTGGTACAAATTGTACTGTACCAAGGTTGACTCGTGGTAGTACTGTTTGACTGCTGAATCTCGAGTTTGGAGTCTGGAGTCCGTAGCAGTAACAGGGCCTAAGAGGATTATCCTCGTCTATGACTTCAGGTCAAACTTGTTAGAATGCTATTGTCTAATGAGGAGCATGTTGTAATCATAGAAACTAGTCCTAATCCAATCGGACTAGAGGCATGCACTACCTTGGTAGACCCACTCTATGCTCTCTTAGGGTGTACTGTATGTGGCTATTCCTCCTATTATTCTACCTGTCTAACATCTTTACGTGACAAGAGATTAAAATGCCATACATTTTTGGTTTATCTTTGTCGTTTCTCCGTTCTACCATGAGTCGATGGTTTTCTCTCCATGAGTTAACTTTTCAATAAACATTATCTTTCGTGACAAGATTTTATACCTTTTCACTATTCAGGCTGAGTTTGGTATTACACTAAATAAAACATTAGTGCATATGACTCATTGACTATTCCAAGGCAGAGTGGATTTATTTTGGATATGGCATGAGAGGTTGAATTTATGACTTGGAGATGCGTTGGTATGTCTTTAAAGTGGACTCATGTTTTGGTTGCAGATTTAAAGATGTCCACAACCAAAATGTGAGGTCATACTTCGTACATGGAGGGGAGTTGGTCCTGCTAGGCACTTATATCTTGGATGCCGATGTAGTTATGTATTTAACATGTATAAACCATATACAGTGATATTAAAGAGATTTTTTGTAAGGTTATATGTTAATGTAAATAACATGTATAAGAGAGAATGTGAGAACCTACATTATTAATTGACATTATTTTTACAAATCAAAATATTAGCCTTTAATTTCATACTAAATATTTGTATTTGAATTTTTAAAATATACATGACACAGTGTTGATGAAGATAAAATAAATGAAATGAACTATAATTGTTTCATTTCCAAACTAAACACATTATTAAGGGTCAATGAATGTAAAGCTTAGTTTGAGCTTAATCTAATGTGTACTTTTGTGAAGATTAAATGAAAAGCAGATGTTGAAGTTGCTTGATAAACAAACTAACAACTCAAGAGTATAATATTATTCCAAAAAAGAAATGTCTAAATATTTGCAATGAATTATTTAATATAGTAAAATTTTACTCTGAATGCTGTATGTAAATAATATGAACATGTTAACCAAAATAGATCTCATAAGAAATCAAAAAATTTATCTTATATGTCAACAGGTATAAAAAAAACTTATCTCTTTCAAATTTTGAAATTGAAATTTGTATTTTTAAGTAAATTAAAAACTTACAGACTATAATTATCTATGTCAATATGATAATTTATTGGAATGAATTAAGTATTTTTGCTTCATATTTCAACTTTTGAAAATTAAGTAGAACATTAATTTTGACAACATGTCACATCTAGGATACATGAAATGTATATATTTTAGTGTATCCAATATTATATGTGGGTTATGATAAAGCAGAAAATTATTTCCTCGTTAGTCAATTGCAAGTAAATTCAATGTACATTTTATCTCAAACATCAATCTTTAAGCAACATAAGAAACTTCAAAATACTAATGATATCATTTTAGCAATAATATGGCTTCCAAATGGCGAAAAAATCATATGATATCAAATGATACGATATCGTTTTTCAAATATATCAATAATGTAAGCTAAACAAAAAATATTTTATATATGGATTCTTTAAAAAAATTCTATACATATTAAAAAAAATTTGGTTCGAATTCGGTTCTTTCAGATGGATGCTTTAATGGATCAACAAGTAATACTCATACAGCCTTTTGTTGTTTTCTATTTAATTACTAATATATATAATTCTGAGATGAGAATAATATGGTATTTTGGATAAAATATTTCAAAAAATCCAATTTTGAATGAAAACTTAAAAATCAAGCTACATGAATATTGTTAGGTCTTCCATCACAAGAAAAATCAAATGCAAACACATGTTGTCAACACAAGAATGCACATCCGACACCCAACATACCTGGTTCACCACTGCAAACTAAGTTCACAAAATAACTTAAACTTTACTAAAATTCCCTAAAAAGTTTTACCGAGAGCTTTTGTAAGTTTTTCTAATATAATGACACTATATCCGGTTTCAGTAATTAGATTCAAGCTAATGTGAAATACCGGAAGACCTGAATTTACTTTTAAAAATTAGCACAATTTAATCTAATGATAACAAATAATCTTTGCAATCAAATTTTCGAATTAGTCTGAAATAAAAATTTCTTTTCTATTAAAAAATAATTTCACAAGATTCGTATGTTCAATCAACAACCTACATTTATTTGAAAGATCAGATTGAATGAAAGAAGAAGAAGAAGAAGTGTGTGGTATATAATATTTCTTACATAAATTACAACATAAAAATGTTTCATTCTAATTCAATGACTTTTATCTATTCCGATTTTATTTTTTTTTAGTTTTGTCGACAAATGTGAATATTAATAACAATAATCTGAAGTTTTAAACTTTCTGAAAATCAAACTTTATAATTATAAATTTATAATAGTGTATGTAACCTTATTTTAGGAAAGGTAAAGAATCTATTATATATTCATATCAATCTGATATGAATATTTACAGAAAAGGATAAAATAATGATCGAATATCATTGAATTTATTGAAAATTGACTTATATTTTAAGTCCAAATGTGAAATTAAAGAGACATTGCAAAGATATATGAAGTCAAATATTTTTTTCTGTAATTTGAAATGTAACCTGCTTTCATAAACATGAGAATTTTTGAAACATAATATTTCACATCTTTTTCGGCATCCAAAACATGTATATTCTACGATTTTTGACTAATTATTTGAACTTAAGAACTAATATTAAATGATCATTCTACCTGTTCATCATAGGCCAGTCGCTCTGCAAGGCACAGGACAAAAACCCATAAGCACAGCAGAGACTGAAACGATGACTATATAGTGTGAATTTTTGCTTCCTCTTTCATCTGGGCGGTGTAGCGGCCGCCTGTAACCCGAGCGGGAGTTGGAGGCTGTGGAGCAGGGTTCCTCTACTGGTACCGGCTGCAGCATGTCGATGGCGTGTCCACCCGAAGCGCGGGTTCACCGGCTGGTTTCTTCTCGGAAGAGAAGGCACCGGTGGTGATAGTGTAGAGGGCAACGCGTGAGGCGGGCAACCGAGCAGCGATCACCTCTCGCCCTGTGCAGTCGGGGGATCGCATGCCTGAATGTCCGTTCGCCGGGTCTCCCAGTGGATTTCAGCTCTGTCACCTGTCTCCGTCCTTTTCTTGATATTTTGTTCTTGATCTCGAACAAACTCGATAAATGAAGTCCTCATAAATATATTGTATATAATATATACAATAATTATGCATACAATCCAGCAGATTTAATAATTCTGAACAACTACTAACAAACGATATGGATATTTTCAGAGATAGTGGTTATCATCAGTTCGTAAAATACATAGAGAGATGGATACCCTGAAAATTCATATATTGTGTATGAGCAATATCGTAAAGATGGTGTGAATGATAAAATTACACTAAACTTACAAGTCTCTTGATAGGAGAAAGAGTGATTGATGGGAATGAGCGTTGGATTTAAGAGTTGAGATATAAACTGGAACCTTGCAATGGAGTGTTTATTTATTCACGTGTTGATCAATCTTCTGAATGTCGTCGGGTGGAGTTAGAAATGTCACGACGTGTGTGGTAGCATGTATTTGCAAAAGCAGATTAAGCGGGTTCACGGTTTTGGTGTTGGCTTTAGATTAGTGCTACATAATTTCTGTGCTTTTATGAAACCTCGAGGTTAGAGTCAGAGATGTAGTGAGGTATTCAGAATTTTCGATTTTGGAAATCGAGTTTAATAAAATCCTTTAAGTTTATAAAATGAATTGGTATGGTTTGAATGAACTCTAATCTGTTGTGTTAAGATATGCATGGATAAAGTGATGGAAAAACTCGACCTCATTGTGATGTTTAATTTTTTTAAAAAAATATCGATTAGAATTTTTTCTGAATATAATGAAAAATTTCAAGATATCAATGAATTAAGTCCAATATCTAATCTGTAAAAAAAATTGATCTGAATTATCCTAGAAAATAATTGCAACATAAGATAATTTTGTATATCATTTGCCTTTTGATAAACAAGTAAAAAAATCGAATAATATAAATTTTTTATTTCAATTTTATAAATGACTATTAAAAATTATACATACATAAATATATGTATGGATGATTTACATATGTCATACTTAAAACCATGATTTTAGACTGATATAAAAGCACATTCATAAAATAAATGACTTTAGTTAATCGTAAGATGTAAATACACCAGTCATGAACGACATTGAATTGAAAGCAAAAGAATGAGTAATCTCCAGGAGAACCTTTTATCACATATTTGATGCAAATGATTATATATATATATATATATAATTGTTTATGGTGAGAAAAACTAGAATGGCTTGCATATTTTTTCGTATGATGTTTTTCAAATGATAGATTGGATAATTTAATTTTTTTCTTGTGAGCTTTGACATTAGGATTTGAATATAATGATTATAGTTATAAAAAATGGAAATAGTTTATTAAAAAAAGCAAGAAGTATTTTAAAGTATTATTTGTAAATTTATCGTCCAAATTTACTCACGTGAATATTCATTTACTTAGTAAAATTAGTTCCTAGCGATAAACGTATTTTTTGATGAAATTTTCTATTGATTGAGAGTCTTATATACTTAGTTTAACATCATAAATGAAGTTTTTATATTTATTTAAATGTAATCAATTTTAACCTTGAATCTTAGGTGTTTGATATATATATATATATATATACATATAATGAAATTTTTTTTAATTACTAAATATTTTAAAGAATGTATCATATCTACGTCATGAGTTTTAAAAACTATGTACCTATATTCATATTTTATAAAAAAATAATACTTTAATTAATAAATTGAAGTAATTATCGATTTGCTACCTGAGATAATCGATCAAGATCAGAATGTGCATAGAATGGTTCTTATAAATTGTGTTGATATTGCTATTAATAAATAAACAACATTTATGAAACATTCAAAACTATATGGCTAAATGCCCGAACCAAGGCGAACCAAAGACGTAAAGAAGGGTCCATGGCGGAACCAGCAGCGGCTCCAACACCTCCGGAGGGTCGCGGAGGGGCAGTCCACTTTGACTCCTTACTTTCCAGTTGGCGAGTGGACATTGGCCACGTCCAGTTCGCTGTCGCTGCCGGAGGAGCCGACTGCAGCCGAGGACGTGGTTACGAGTCTACGTGGTTAAATGGAATGTGGTGGTGTGCTGCTGTTCCGAACTCGAGGCTTGCAGTGCTGGAGCCTGCGCTGGATCGGAGGAAGGAAGGAAGGAAGCAAGGCAAGCAAGGCTCGGGCTCGAGGCTCTGCATGCGACCTGCAATTCTCGACATCGCCGGAGAAGCAGAATGTTTTCGCTCTCGTGATCGCTGCGTGCGATTGATTGATTGAGTTTCTCTCCCTCCATGGGCGATGGTCTAGATTTCTTCACCGCGCAACAAACAGCTAGCGTCGATTCACCGCGATGGGCAATTCCCAAGATCGTTCGAGATGGACCCCCGAATTCGAAGAAGCCTCCAAGTATGGGCGTTTGCTGCAATTTTTCGTTTGGTTTGGTTGTCACGGGCCGCAGGATGATTTTTCTGTAGCAATTTCGATAGACGCCGTCTACGGCGTCCTTGGTTTGGTTTAGAAGTCTGCTTCTAAGTGCATCAAACGAAGGGGAATCTTAACGATTTTAAGTACTCTGTAATTGTGTTTTGTTTGGATGCTGTGGTGGTACTCAACATTGTGCTGAATGTTGTGGCTTCGATACTTTGTGAATGGTATCATTTCTGATTAGCTCAGTTTCATAATCTTGAAATTTACTCCCTCAAAAATTTGTTTTTCTTTCTTGGATGCGCAGTCGGCCACTCATCATTGTCATTTTCTTTCATCCGTGTGGCAGGAGGTTTCATCAGATAGGTCTGCAAGCTTTGAGAAAGTTGTATGTTTCTTTGGCTGCGCAGTCCAGGAGTCACGGAAAATTCATCAGTGCTTCCGCATTTCAGGCACTTTTTCCCTTTTATGACACCTTCTAATTCTGCAACCTCAGCATACGTGTGCTCTATTTTAGGTTACATGTGAATGATTGAAACTGGTTTATTTGGTTGTCTCCCGACATGTAATATATTGCTGCACGAAGGTATGAAAGGACTGAAGAAAAGAAGTTCAGAAACTTGCAGAACAGTAAAGCAGGATGCAAAACTCTTAGACTTGTGCTTTCTTCGATACGCCTGTGCAGGCTTATTTCGGAATCCATGGAGCTCTTGGGAATCGTTTGTTTGACGTTGTAACTCAAATGCGCAAGGACCAGTGCATGTACTTTGAAGACTTGGTGATTGCCAAGGTATCATTAATATTGTGCAACCATGTAATTCATGATATTTTTTAGTTTTGCTCAGCTGGTCTCTATCTTTGCTGAATTACGTGAAGCTGATCGAGTATATTTCCAGGCTAAATATGAAAAGGGTGGGCCCAGTGAAATTGAGGAGTTCGAGTTTCAGCTTTTGGACTTGACTGGAGATGGCAAAATTCAGAGGTCAGTTTCATCTGCCTTTCCTGTCTGTCAACACATGCAGGAGCCTCGGTTGTGATATCTGATTAATTAGACCTCGCGATTATGCTTCAGTGTTCATGTCTTGTTGGAAGTGTATCGTTTAAGGGGGATCGTTGACGGAATGAGCATTTTCTTGGCAGGCAAACATTACAAACAATCCGGAAGAAATGAACTTAGCTATTTAAATTAGCATCTGTGCAACTTGGAAACGTCATACGCTTCTCGTAGGAAGTTGATAAAACTAGAAGGGACGGCAATGGGGGTTGAGGATTTTACCACTCAGTCCTTTTTTGTGTTGACGACCACTTTGTTGTTCCTCTGTACGATGGTTGAACGTCTTGTTGATGTGTATGTATTCAGAACAGAGGTGGAGGCTGTCATTATATCTGTACTGGCGACTGTGCTCGGCCCAAGTGATGCAGTAGTGGATGCAGGCCTCCCGGAGGAAGTCTTACGAGCCTTTTTGAATGCAGCTGATTTTTCCTTGCAGCCAGAAAGTGAAGGAGAAGAGCCATGTATGACTTCACAGGATTTTCGAAATTGGCTGGAAATGATTCCGTCTATTAAGAAGTTTCTCAGCTCTTTGTTGAAAGCACCGCACGCAGATGAAGGTGAAACATCCCATCACTATATTCTTGTCCTTTTGGGCTTGTAGAAATGTTTGCAAGTGGTCATCACCTGTTTCACGACACAGGTGCTGTATAGTTCGAATCATAAATATCATATATCCTCAGGAAAGAAGGAAATTTGAGTTTTCGTGTCATAGGTTTAACTCATTCACTACTGGTGCAGTAATAGTTGGTAGACAGGTACCTACGTTGCTCGTCCCTGAGGGTTCAGAACACAGTACTCTTCTAAGGAAAGAGTATGCATGGCACATTGCGGGACCACTACAACAGCAGGAATCGCAGGAGTGGGTTCTTCTGTATCACAGCTCTGTCAATGGACTCAGTTTCAACACTTTTTTGGGGAACATTTCGTAAGAAACGACACCCTTTTATTCTGCTAAACTCACTTGTTCAAGGTTTTGTAAAGGGCCCATTCACTTCATATTGTTGCAGCTCATCTGCTTGGTACAAGTCGATAAACATAAGCAGCGGATGACCTTCTGAAGGCAATGTACTGACAGAGTTGCACGAGGTTCGTCTATCATAGTGATCAAAGACAAACAAGGAAATATTTTTGGCGGTTATGCCAGTCACCCTTGGGAGAAACACAGCGAATTTTATGGTGACATGAAAAGTTTTCTCTTTACTCTGCATCCGAAGTTATCACTTTACCGATGTTCCGGGAAAAACACTAACATACAATGGGTGAGCATTCGTTTTAAGAACCGTTATTGATTTCTCTTCTGTCCATAGACTTGTGTTCATTGCGGTGAACGTGCTAACATTGTCATGCGGTTCACTAGGATTTGGGGCCTGCAGATCACTGCTTAGCGTTCGCCTTATTTCTGTATATCTTTCAGTGACCATTAGTACTTTGTATAGGGACTCCGAGTATTCACCCTTTTGACTATACGATTTGCAGTGTATTATATTCTAAGCCTAGTCTAGAACGGGTGAAATTTGAGGATGATGAAACGGCAAAGGACGGAACAATAGTAGAAAGTTTGCCGAGCTATATGTGTCCGTTGTGCAATCGTCCAAAGAATTATTCGCTGAGAACATAGCTTAACATAATTGTCGTTGCAAAATGTCAATGGATTCGGTACCTAGTAAACCAGTGGATGTATATCAATTTTTGATCTTATATATCAAATATTTCTTCCTGTGCAGTGCGCTGCAAATTACGTCTCAGAGAGCTTACCTAACGGTATAGGTTTTGGAGGCCAAATTCATCATTTCGGGTTGTTTCTCGCTGCAAGTTTTGACAAAGGGCACTCTCGTCCTTCAGTCACATTTAATAGCCCGGCACTCTCATCAACATCTGACTTTGAACCTGATACTATCGAATGCTGGGCAGTACTAGTGGATACGGACGGTGACAGCCAAAGCGGTGCCGAGAAAGTCAAGGGTACCATCTTAGAAAGATTCAAAGAAGAGCGTCAAATGTTGAACATGGTCGGCATAGCAAACGCAAGCAATTAGGTCAGTTACATTTCTTTCTTTCATCTGCAATTAAATATTCTGATACAGTTTACGTGTCAGACGAACTCTAGCTACCTCATGTTGAAGAAGACTGCCCGTCATACGTGGCAAAGGTTCCTCCCTATGCACGTAAATTGACTGGGAAGCTGTAGTGCAAACGTAGCAAATTACATTGTCCTCGTGATCTGGCTATACGAACTCAAGGTGGGTTTCAGATCAGGGCAGTTTGTAGTTCATGTCAAACTCGATTACTAACATTGTGAAGTAACCGACTGTGTTTGTGTCAGGTACATTACTGCAACCTGCATCTCGACATTCTCGTGGTTCTGGAGAAGTTTAGACCTGTTTTCAGTCCTATATGGTCATACAAGAATCAGTGGCAAGGAGCTCTGCTCAAAGTTCCATAAGGGGTAGTCACTGCCGCATCAGCCTTCTATTACGACGTGCGACGGCTAGAATCTGATCGCAAATTACCTGAGCTCATTTCATGTACCTTCATAGTTAATTTAGATAAATCAGTTGTATATGGAAAAAGGATGGCTTCAAATTTGGAGCTTTTCCTTCTCTCATGTGTACCGTAATATGATATATGAATCCATACGATGGTAATTATTTCCGTGTTCCCATTGCACCGCGTCTTTTAAAGACACGTAGACAATAATTTTCTGTCAAACTTGGAGCCAGAACAACTGCAGTCGGCAAGATTACTCTTTAGTATCTGAACGACATCCTCAATGCAGTAAATCGGAAAGGCTGAGGACGGGCCTTAAATTAGATCTGTACCTTCAAACAGGAACTGTGGTTACTTGTGTAATGATCAGTCATTATGTTTTGGCATTAATCTCCTCGCTCTTCGTTCGATACCCTCTAAGATATTGTACAGTTTGGCCGGTTGTGACTTCATAGTAGTTGACAATGTACGATGCTCCAATTTGTGCACGTAAAAGAATCACCGCACGTCCTCTGCATGGAAATGAACACTTCACCCTGAAATACCGTAAGCTCAGGTCAAGCAAGCAGCATCACTATCGAATGGTGGAGCAGAGCAGGTGTTAGAACTTCCCAGTTAGATTGCAATCTAACCAGTAAGTGGCAAACATTTTGACGACCGAAACACGAAGCTCAAAAACTTCGAATTTCGGCAACGAAACAAGAGCAGGGGACGAAGAGACCTGAAGCCAACGCAGCGACAAGTGATGAATGATGAGGCCGTGGACCGCGGACCAAGCTCAGGAGAGCGTGTCTGTGATGGAACGAGCGCAAGGATTCGATGTGGCTCACTGACCAGGAGTGAGGCCACGGGCTCCAGGCAAATTCAGTGCATGCCAGGGCGAAGAAAGGCTGTCTCGTCCGTCCGTCGGTCCGTCGGGAGACACGGTCGCAGGAAAACGAGGTCGAGGGAAGTCGGGGAGCGTAAACAATGAATGGCGGACAACGACTCTTGCGGGCGCGGAGGCAGCAACGCGCCATGTGGCAGACACTTGGCGCCCGCCTAAGTGCCTCCCGGCAACGACTTCCCCACAGAAGCTATCGTCCGTCTCGACGCTTCACAATTCCAGGCCCCGCCGCGCAAGCCCCTCCCCTCCCCTCCCCTCGAGCAGCTGGCGTCCGAATTGCCGTCGTCGAAAGAGTCGGGCTTGTGCTTGGAATTGGGCTTGGGCTTGGGCTTCGATCGGCGCTAATCCGAAGGCGCGAGCGAGCGAGCGATGGCCAGATAACGAGGAAGAAGCGGGCACCGGCGCGGAGGAGCGAGAGATCGGAGCGGAGGAGGAGGAGGAGGAGAAGGAGGAGGAGGAGGAGGAGAATCGCGTGGAGCTGGGGAGGCGGTGAAATGGGCGGACCGTCGCTGGAAGAGAGGCCACCATTGAATGGCGTGGCGGAGTTCATGACATGGCTGAAGAGCACGCTGGCCGTGAGACATAGCTGGGAACCTTCACCGACTGCGGGCGATGGCGAGCGCTCGTCGTCAGCAGGAGGAGGAGGAGCAGCACCGTTCAAGGTGTCCGGGGCAAAAAAAGAGTCGAGCTCGCGGAAAGACCTGCCGCCCATTTTTAGTACCAAGGTCAAGAACAATGTTACGTTTTCCGAACGACAGAGGCTGAAGAAGAAGGGTTTGCCCGTGTCCGAAAAGAATGCCAGCAGCCGCTTCGAGTCGCCCGCCCTCAGTAGCGACAGCTTCACCGATCGCCAGAAGCTCCGCAAGCGAGGCACTTCTCTATGCGACGACGCTGTGTCGTCCGAGGAGCTTTTCGATTCCGTGGACCACCTGTTTCCCGGGGCCATTCCTGAGATCGATTCCACCGAATCCATGATGGCCAACATCGATACTCTGTATTCTCAAGGCAAGGGTTTAGTGACTTCGGGATTTTTCGATCGATCGGACAAGAGGATCTTGGAGCAATCCGCCGAACAGGCCTTGCAGGAGACCAATTCCGATAACGAGAAACCGTTCGAGAATTTTGGTTCCAGCGATGATTATGATTCGCAGGTCGAGAGCGGTTCGCAACCTGCTGCCGGACGATCCCGTTTCAGAGTTCGAATCAAGCTCGGCAGCAATGGAAGAAGATTGCTCAGTGGAGCCATCGCCGGAGCTTTCTCTCGCACTGCTGTGGCTCCATTGGAGACGGTCAGGACGCACATGATGGTGGGCAGACACGGCAAGTCCTTCAAAGGCGTGTGGGATTGGATCATGGAGAACGAGGGCTGGACGGGTCTGTTTCGGGGAAACACCATCAACGTGATCCGCGTGGCTCCCAGCAAAGCTGTCGAGGTGCGATTTCCTCACCTGCACCACCTTAGGGTCCTCCAGTTACAGTGCGCTTCGTAGAAAGGGTAGAATGCTTTGTATCATCCGACATCTGTTTGTAGCAGGTCGCTTCGAGTGTGGCAACAATGATCCATGATCTCTCTTGCTCGGTCGCGTCTCTGTGCACAGTTGTTCGTCTACGACAAGGTGAAATTTGCTCTCACGCCACAGGAAGGAGAGAAGTCGAGGTTGAGGATCCCCGTTGCATCGATCGCGGGCTCAGCTGCGGGCATCACATCCACCGTGTTGATGTACCCACTGGAGCTCGTGAAAACGCGTCTCACGATCCAGGTAAATGTCGCCCCTGTCGTCCCTCGCTGGCATTGATTTTCATTCCAGAAGCTCAATCAAGATAGCCCGGGAGGAATTCGGACAATTCGGAAAATTCGGAAGAGCCGAGCAGCCCCAGGCATCGGTGAACGCGTTCTCGACTCGGAATCGAACGCTGGGAGCTGGCGTTCGAGCCAGCCTTGGGCGACGGGTTTGCAGGCAGCATGAATCGCGAGAAGTAGACCGACATTTGGGGTGTGGCACTTTCGGAGGCATTGTTTATTCTCTGTCTGGATGTGTCTGTCATATGGTCGGTCTGTGGGTGAGGGAACCTGACTCGGAATTGGGCGTCCAATTTGAAGCTAGATCTAGGGCCTAGAGCTCGCAACTCAAACTGGAACAATCTCCCTCGCCTAGAGGCAGCAGTAGATCTTGATGAAGTGTCTAGAGTAGATCACAGTGCAAGATTCTACTTGAAGATAGCGCTCGAAGCTGGTCACCAGTCATGTGAACAATCATTCTCCAGCACAGCACGGCACGGCACGGCGCAGCGCAGCGCAGGTCTACTTTATCGGTGCTGTCGCTACTCGACATGTCCAGGAGACGAACACACAACGCACTGTTCAGTACTAGCGCTGTGGAAATCTTTAGCCAGCACTTTCCGTTACTCAATGTCTCAGGCCCCTCAGGGCCTGCAGCACCGTTCTCGTGTGTGACAACTTATCCGTGCTGCATGAGAGGATCGACTCGAAAAGCTCAGAAAGCGCTCCCGCAGCATTGATGGGATCCGCCTCCCCCTCTCTCGCGGTGATCAGTCCTGCTCTGCCGCCTGACCTCGCCGCCTCGCGTCGAGGCACATCATGGATCGATGACGAGCATGCGTACGGTGAGGGGGTTGGGGCGCAATTCTCGGTGCCAGTGCAGAGAGCTGCTGCGGCTCTGCTGCGGCTTGGTAAGCTCATGAATGGATGGATTGATGGACGGATTGAGGAATTGATGGATTGATGGATTGATTGATGGATGGATTGATGGTGATGATGAGCAGCCCAAGGAGTATCGGAGCATCAGCAACGCGTTTGTGAGGATCGTGAAGGAGGAGGGATTCGGCGAGCTGTACAGGGGCTTGGGGCCGAGCGTGGTGGGCGTAATCCCCTACGCCGGGACCAACTACTTCGCCTACGACTACCTGCGCTCGCTGTACAAGCAGCTGAGCCGGACGGAGCACATCGGCAATCTGCAGACGCTGCTGATCGGCTCGGCCGCGGGCGCCATCGCGAGCTCGGCCACGTTCCCGCTGGAGGTGGCGCGCAAGCGCATGCAGGTGGGCGCCATCCAGGGCCGCCTCGTCTACCGCAGCACGCTCGACTGTCTGGCCAGCGTGTTCCGCGAGGAGGGCCTGACGGGCCTCTACCGGGGCCTCGGCCCCAGCTGTCTCAAACTCGTCCCCGCGGCGGGCTTGTCCTTTATGTGCTACGAGGCCTTGAAATCCGTGCTTCTGGAGGAAGAGGCCAACAAGCCCAAGCCCAAGCCCAAGCCCCGGGCCAAGCGCAAGCAGCAGTGAGATAGATCCACTTTCAGAAACCCGTCAGCGCCAACTCATTCTCATTATTATTCGTTGCGGTGAAACGCGTCTAGATTGTAGATTTGTTATCCGCATGATTGTACCATAATTTGACAATCCTCGTAATATGACCGGTCCACTATTCTTCATTCTTCGCAAGAGCAAGAGCACATTTTTTCGACAAATTGTTTTGGCGGTTGACGTATTCCCCCTCTATCCCCCCGAGGCCGTGCTCCCTATCTAAATCAAACCCACCCACACATATACACACACATTTGCACATCTCTCTCTCTCTCTCTCTGAGACAAAGCAATTGTGCACGTCGGCAGGAGCAAAGGGCGTCCGTGTGCTGTACAGGCAGGCGGGCTGGCAGATGAGCCCACTTGTCAAACGAAGTGTATGATGGTGCATGCAGAGACCTGACGATTGCAGCGGATAGTGGCGGTGGTAGTGGAAGAAGTAGTAGTAGTCATAGTCGTAGTCGTGGAAGGAATGCGCTGCTCTGGCCCTGACGGCGCCTCTGTGGGTGCCAGCTCTGTCGGAGTCGACAGCGCAAGGCGAGATGTCGAGGCGATCAGGGCGAGACTCACCTGGGGCCGCCGGAGGTGACAAAGGGATGTAACAAATCCATCTGGGCAGGGAAATTGACGACGGATCATGGTGCCCAAGACGAAGTGGGATGTTTTCATTTCATGCCTCTCATTCATTTACAGCGCAATACACTCACATTTCAAGATATGCAACACTTTGACATCGAGAGTAAACGTGTGCGACCACACCACTTTACCTCGCAAAGTATTGTCCTCTCCGTCATCTTCGATACTTACAGCGGTCATCTCGAGCACGGACGAGGGCCCTTGGCCGGGATGCTCCCCTATGACTAGAAGTTTGCCCGCTACGCTAACGAGGTTGATGCCCCACTCGAGGCGCGGCAGCTGCCGGCCGACCACCTGCAGGGGCCGCCACGACTCGGTTCTGAGGTCGTAGCCGATGATCTTGTCCAGATAATTCCACGAGAATAATTTGTCGTTGACGACGGCGGCCTTGCCGCGCCAGCACTCGTTGAGCGAGTCGGGCACGGGGCTCAGATCCTCGGCGAAGGGGTCGAGCACGAGGCCGCCCGTGTCGCCCACCGCGAAGAGCTTGTCGTCCATGACGGCGCTGCCGTGCATCCAGCGCTCGCGCATGAGCTCGGTGGGCGTGGGGAACACGTCCCACTCGCCCATGTCGCCCTGCTTGGGATCGAAGACCTCGGCCCAGGCCGAGGTGCCGGCCCAGGCGCGCGGCAGGCAGCCGCCCATCACGTACATCTTGCCCCCGATGGCGCCCATGGCCGGGAATTCGCGGGGCACGCGCATGTGCGCGCCCTCGCTCCACTTGTTGAAGCACGGATCGTAGACCAGCACCTCCTTGGACGCGCAGCAGCTGCCGGACTTGCCGCCGATCATGTACAGCTTCGACTCGAGCACGGCGCAGGCCGAGCCCGTGCGCTTGGGCAGCGGCGGCAGCGTCCACCATTTTTTGCCGGCCAGATCGAACGCCTTCCAGCGCGCTTGCGACGAGAGATCGCACAGCATCACGTACAGCCACGGCTCGCTCAGGCCCTCGTTCTTGCGGTACTCGAAGAAGGACGGCGACGCCAGCAGCTTGCGCCACGACCGATTCACGCACCGCATCACGCCCAGCGCGCTCCGCGATACCCTAGCGATGCACGGAATTGCGATGTCGTTCGGCAGCCCCGGCAGAAATTCCTCGTCGTACGTCTCCATCGTCCCTCGCCCCTCTTTCGCGCCCGCCCCTGCACCTGCGCTGGCCCCTCGCCCACCCTCCCACCCACCACCGACGACGACCACGACGAAATTGGCCGAGGCCTCACGGCACTCCTCGACCGAAATTCGTCAACCAGAATTCGCCCGGCCGGCGAGCGGATCCGAGCAGACAGCAAGAAGGCGCAACGCGTGCATGCCGAGGGCAAAACCCTCGTGGGCTCGCTCGACGAAAGCGCACAATCTGCCGAATTAACGACGATCAACACGACGCCCGGTCTTCGCCCTCCGACAGCCGCGCACGCACCCAATCGCTCGCTCGCTCTCGCAATGCCGACTCGGATATTTCCACAGGCCACGCTCAGCGCACCGTCGCGGCGTCGAGAGAAATTCTAAGAATGGTGAAGATGAGAATCGCGTCTCGAGAGCAGATCGCCGGCGCAGAACGTCGTCGTCGCCCGATCCCGCAGACTCGAGAGCAGCGCGAGGACGAATAGAAGCGAGAGACGCGAAGAAAGTCGAGCGCGGAATGCAATTCCAAGGCTCAGGACGCGAGGGCGCGAGGGGGCGAGCAGGCACGCAGGCAGGCAGGCAAGCATGAAAGAAGAAAGGGGCCTTGGGGGCAAGGCAACTGCAGGGGCTAGGCCCGGCCGGGAGTCAAGGGGAGGTGGCGGGGGGGGGGGTGCGGGGGAGGGGGCAGGGGAGGGGGCGGCAAGGAAAGAAAGGCCAACACGCGAGAGAGAGAGAGAGAGAGAGAGAGGGGGGAGGGGAGCGCGACGATGATGGGGGTGGGGGTTGGACTTGGGGTTGGGGTTGGGGTCGGGATGGCAGGCTGTGAATCCAACAGGAAAAGCAGATCACAAAAAGACGAGGGTCCCATCCATCCATCCATCCGTCCATCGAGCTCCGTACGGCCCTAGCGGAGGCGAGGTGAGGCGAGCCCAGCCAAGCCCCGCCCGAGCGCGCTTCAGCCAACCCCCGCCCAGTGCGCGCTGACTGACGTCCCATTTTCAACGGTGCGAGGGCGGACGGCGATTCTGATTCTGATTTCGAGCTTATCGTCCACCCCAGCAGCCCCCTCACTTTCTAATAATGCACTCACTTAAAGTATATTAAATTACTCGTACGCCAAGATGCCTGTCAGATCGCCCTCCGTTCTTCCATTTGACTTTCCTCCCCTTCCGTTTCCCCCCTCCGTACTCCGCTCCCTCCCTCCCTCTCTATCTGTTAACACCCGTCCTCTTCCACGCCTGCCTGTGGGAGGGGCTCTGGGGCTGGGGCTGGGGCCGATCGGCGGTCAGAGATGACTGCCGCTGTTGCTGCTGGCGTGGGGGCAAAGGCGGTCACGGGACAGATCGAGCGTTACCTTGCACCTCGAGGGGGGAGGGCGGAGGGGGTGCGAGCCATTGTTTATTTCGCTCGTGAGCCCGGATGTTCGAACGCGCCAGAGGCCGGACCGAGTAAACAAGCATTTCGGGGGGTAGATACAGCTTCCGATAGGCGATGGTGGCTGGATCGGGGGGCTCCGAAGTGTGCGAGGGGCGAGAAGAGTGATTGATACGAGCATACGACAGAGCATATGCTTCGACAACAGAAGAGGCCATGGACTCATAGACGCAGACAGTGTAGGGGGGAAGATCCAAATTTGGATTCATCTGCTAAGATAGGTAGGGCTTGTTTAGGTCCAGACTTTGAGGAGCTTGTGGTGGCGTGCCAATAGTCGTCCAACAACACTACCTCTAGCTTGCAGGATTTTTCTTTCTTCGGCAGAATATTTGTGCACGTTCGACTGGCACTCTTGCAATTTATGTACCTTTACTTTTTTAAGCACTTCCACGATTCGTGAAAGGACCCCGTGGAAACTGTCGTTGCCATTTGAAAGCTGTTCCCCTTCCTCGACCCCTTCCGCGACCTCCCTCTGCCCGACAGCAATCTGCATCGAGGGTTCTCTTTAATGTCGACGACGATGAGCAGCGGTTACTTCTTTCAGCCGACCTTCCCTTTTCCCTCTTCCAGTCCCTCTATTTCAGCAGGCCCCAAAACTGACGGATGTGGGTGGACGAGCTTGACACCTTTCGTTGATTTCGGCATTCTTTAAATGTGATAAGTAAAGTGAATTCCATCAAGTCTCATGAAGAGCCAATGTTTGGATTAGAGACCGACGTTCTAGTCAAGATATGTCGATGCACAGATATTCGCTGTTTGACCGACAGAATTTCTTGAACCGAGGATGAGGAGGTGAAGGAAACGTGGACCAAGTAGATAACGAAAACAAACGAGGATGGGGACACCGCCCCCCATCACAACAAGCCATTGGGTTGAAGTTAACATTCACGATTTGGAGTGGGCGTGGGTTAGGAATCTTTGCAGTTTTGGAAACAGTTTCGGACTTGACCTGTATAGAGGTCATTTGCTCCATTAAAAGCGCTAGCTTGACAGGTTCAGCCAATGGCTGGCAGATGGAGGAATCGGTTAGGACATGTCATCGGCATCAAACTTTGGGGTGGGTACACTAGTTTCCGTCAGGAATTTAATGCACAAATACACGCAAGAGTTTACACTTCGAATGACGCTGACTACTCAAAAGCTAATGCTTGTCACGTGGCTTAATAACAATCCTCGGTGATTAGATGAGGCCGGGCGTCGTTTGACTGCTGGTTGTCCTATTCGCATTCGCAGCGGAAAGCAATTAAGTTGTCTCAGCTTGATAGTGTGCATCTAACTTATCCACAAGTGACCACAAAAATGGCTTCTCCGTGAAGGAGATAATGATGTATATTAGTTTGACCTTGAACCGTGTGTAAACTAGTTTACAGGAGTCCTACAAAAGCAGTATCTTAATGACCGGAGGGTCGTCCGGCAATTTACTATCGATGCCGTGAATAACGCACGACAAAAGTGTGTGGGATGTGAAGCCAAAACACTCTATAGTGTTCCCTAAGGGCAGAACTCGCAGTCTTCGCCACCTATGAAAACTGCCTGACCCATGTATGGGATCAGGGGTTCAGGCATTCAACAGCATCCCTCAAGGGATAAGTTCGACCAGGCACAGAAGACGTGTCAAACATATCCTATCGGTGACAGGTACCATTCCGTTCAGCAGTGCACGAGTAAAAGTTGAGCAGCGCTTTGGCCTACAAGTATCCAGCACGTCGATTACTGTTCGGTTGAGAGAGAGGGAATGTACAATGTTAGGTTTGCGTATCTAAAACTAACACAAATATGTTTTGAATCTTTGTCAGCTCATCAGATCTGTGGCGTTTCTACAGCAGTTTATATCGACTTGAACTGCTCATCTCGGCTTGGACCCAAGCCAGGTAGGAGGTTCTTTATCCTCAATCCCTTTCCCCAGAAGGATCCGACCGAGAGACCCATGAGGGCCATCACTACTACAGAGCAGGCCGGAGGAACTGCATGACTCATTCCTAAAAATTGAGAGGCAAGCAGCATGGCTAAGGTCGAGCTCTGCATTCCAGAGCATAGTGATATAGTTCGAGACGCCTTCTCCTCTTGTCTGCACACGAAGGACGTGACAGTGAGCTCACAGCTGGAACTGCCGACTAAGATAGATTATATCCAAAACCTCTCCTTGCATCCAGCAGTGTTGTAGGTGATGATCAGATCGCTAGGGTAAATCAAAGTAACCTGGCAGCCAGAACAGATTTTACTTATTTACTGCAGGACACCTGACATCACCACTGAAATATCTCACGCTTCGTACGTACCTCCATGGAGAGACTTGGCAAATCCAGTAACCGACAGCAAATGCTCCAATATGGAAGGCCACAATTGGGGCCAGCAGCTGCAAGCCTTGTGTTGACACGATCATGTCTCGGTTCAAAGCCAGCGGACTTCCAATACAAAGCGAAGTGCACACCATGGCTACCAGAGGCATGAAATTTCGTACTCGGTCAACCAGGGACTTGGCGTAGGTGTTGAGTGCAAGACCTAAGAAAACAGGACCGATCACAACCTGCAAGAGACAAACAGTTTCGAGTGATCAACTTCGCGCCAGACTTTTGCCTTTTCAGGTGGTGAAGGCGAGAGAGGCATCATTGGCTTGCATGGCATGATTTCTTCATCGTCTCCCACTTTTGTGAATCGCAGTAAACTCTTGGAGACTCGAGATCCGTTTGGCTCAACATGGGAAGAAAGTGAAGGAGAGGACGATGTCAAGCACGATCATGAGGCTTAGAAATGCCAGTCGGGATATAGATACCAGTGTGAGAGATAATAACAAACCTGCAAGATAGATGAGGCCATGGCAACCACATCGACTGGGACCACAGACCCGATCAGGATGCGGGTGAGAAGAGGAGTAACAGCAACAGAAGTGATGGTCGTCAAGCTCGTCAGGACGATGCTCAGCGCTACATCTCCTTCACTCAAAAACGAGGCGTAGCTAGACAGTTGAGCACCGGCAACGCATGAAGTGAGTATGAGCCCTGCTGCAAATGCTGCTGGTACATTAAACAGTTTGACCGTCAAGAAGCCGAGGAGTGGCTTGATTAGGTACTGGACGCCATATCCTAAAACAACTGGAACTGGCCTGCACGCAAACCGAGCCAGAACGCGTTGAGTGTGCATTTTAGTAATCCACGTAGCGATCGCAGATTCCCTCTGGATCGAGTCCAGTATCAACATTTTTCAACAGAAACAACGTAATCGTGCACTGAACAATAGGAGGAGAATTTTACGAGCTTTACCTTTTGACGACGAGGGCGAAGTCTGAGACGGAGAGTTGTATTCCAATTGACAGCATAATGCCTCCTAGAGCTGGAGCGTAGTAGTCCTTGCTCACCCTGCAGAGTCCACGGCAGATTCACAAATGAGAAGCATGCGAATTTTGCTATACAGAGTGTAACAGAGTGTCGTGGAGTGGCAGAGCACAAGCTGCGCGCATGGGGGCCAGGTCCGAGACTCACCAGGCAAAGGACGCGGGCTTCGTGAGCGCAGCCACAGCAGTCATCGCTACAACGAACGGCAGCATCTTCGACAACGACTTGGTAACATCAATTTCCTGCCCATTCCTATTCTTCTTGATTTTGATTCCGAAAGATGTCAGCGACACGTTTCCTTCCCGCCTAAACTTTCCAACTCTCCCGACTCTTCCTTTCTGTTGTGCCACAGCTCGGAGAACCGCATTCCTCAACTTCTTCTGAGGAATTGAAGTGGTGAAAAACTGCAGCTCAGAGTTCTGCGAGTTCATGGAGGAAAGCCTCGAGAAGGAGGTCGATGCGTCCCCTGCGCTCCGCAGACTGCTGGAGCTACCGGACACCTCGCATCCTTCCGATTCCCCACGCTCTTCGTATACGCGCACAGGCCTCGGGCGGTGTCGAGGAAGACGAGTCTCGCCCTCTGCGGCACAAGGCATGATCAATCATCAGCACCGACCGCATTGAAAATCCAGCACCCAGTCTCCGAGATCTCACTCACCCGTCTACATTCTAGAATACCGACCATCTCCTCGTGAACAAGAGGGCCCTAGCGAAATTCCAATTCCTAAAGCCCGACAACGGATTACGGCTCGCGCTTACTACAAAGTAACAAATCTGTAGTGCACTCGGGAGCTCGAGGCGGTGTGTGTCAGCCGTCGGCGGAGAATTGCTGTCTAAGAGAAAGCCTCTGGGGAAAAGCAGGCAGAAGTAGCATGCCAAAGTCGCGTCAAGAAACATCGCCGCCTCGGGAAGACAGAGGCAGGCTCATGCAACCAGTCGGAGAGCTGAGAGAATTACCCGAAAGCCTGTGGAGATGGCGGGTCGAGAGGACGAGAGAAGGCAATCCATTCAAGCGCCGCAATGGCGTCGGCAAGGCGACGAACGGCGAACTCTGCATTGGAGCCACCACGACGAAGCTCGTCGACGAGAGCACAGCCGAAGTCGGTGCCATACTCGCCATCGGTGGCGCAAAGGCAGGAAAGATGGCGGAAATCCGAATCCAAATTGCGAACCTAAAGCTCGTCCTCGCGGCTCAAATTCGTCGTCCGACGGCCGCGCGAGACCAAGCGTCCGACGAATCGAGCATTGGTCTCAGCCCCTTGCTTCGAATGCCACCGGCATGCAAGCCAACAGCGGCAGCGCTTCCACGTCAAGCCCTGCCGACTCTGCCCCAGCTGCTGCTGCCGCGTCCGCTGCCATTCATGGCGCAAGAAGAAGGACGACGACGAGCAGAGCGAGGCGAGGAAAGCAGAAATCTGACGACGACGAGCCGGCCTCGTCGCTAGACTAGACATACGACTCGAGAAAGATTCGCGGCTACGCGACGAGGGGTTCAGCGGGGCTTAAACCTCCGCAAGCCCCAGCCCCAGCCCCCCAGGAGGCTATAGGCACCGGCGTGCGGCTGCTGCTGCTGCGAGATCTCTCTCGTGGGCAAACTGCCAACCCCAAAAGCGAAATGAATGGCCGCGAGCATTGGGCCGCCTCCGGACTCCCGCTGAGTGGCAGAAGCACTGGACAGCAAGCGCCAAGACCACCACCACCCCCACCCCCAGCCCCATGCCCCCCGCTCCGCTAAACTCCGCTGCGCTCAGCGTCGATTCAATTCCTTTCCTCGCAATGTGCTCTCCAATTTGCTGCACGCACATTGCTCCACGTCCCCGCCTCGAATCATTAGCCCTTTCATTAGCCCTTTCCGGGGCTGCCGAAGTTGCGCTCTTCCCCCCGCCCCCCTCCGCCGTTCACTCGGTGCGAATCAGCGCACGCCCCAGGCCTCGCCCTGGGGGATGTCCGTTGTCCTTTGTGAGCCGGTGACCGGTGACCGGCGACCGGCTCCGGGGCCTGGGTGTCGCTCGGTGTTCGGGATATTATCCAGAGAGTGGGTCGGTCGTTACCGTCTCCATCTCCGGCTCTCGGCGTCCTGTGCGCGGGCGCCACTTGTCGCAGCCCCTAGAGCTCCGGAATTTCTGTGGATTTTGGTGAAGACTTCCGGCTTTCTTACCACCAGAGAAACCGGATCCGGCCGGCTCTTTTTGCCATACGCCTCCGAATCGGCATGGGAGAGTCCGTCGGTCCGTCGTACGCTGATATGAATTGCATCTTGCTTTTGGTCCACTTTCCTCCGGAATTGTCCACAAGCCGTGAGCTACACACTTTCCCGACCAATCAATTGCGCACCTTCGTTAGAATGAATCATCCTGATGCAATATCATCGAATGGAAGAGATTTTGATAATTGTGTAGGACGTAAAAAGCAAAAAGTAAATTTTTGTTGACGACTTTCGGTCTTCGAAACTTTTCATATTGCAATATTCCTAGCCTCATCTCCACAGAAAATACACATAAAACCAATTCGCATGGAATCTTCAAAACTGACTATATTTTGTTCAAATCACCAAAATAAACTAATTATAGTAAAATCAATTCAAATAAAGTTTAAATTAGACACTTCACTTAAAGAAATAACGGGTTTTTTCATTGAGAAAAAACTTTCTATCTTTTCGAGAATTGGATCAATTAGATATTTGACATTTTATCTGGAAACGATATTTCAGCTTTTCTAAAAATATGTTTATAAGATAGAATCAACATGTTAATATAATTAAATTTCAAGTGAAAAATAATTAAGTAATCATTTGAAATCAATCACATTAATTTGTTGAGATTAATTTCATTTTAAGTAGTAACCTCGTGTCCTAGCTAAATATAACTAGAACTGGACTGGATATTAAATATTTGGGCTTCTGCCCTATACAACATGACACTATTTCACAGAGCTGGAGTACAACATTGCGAGTGTTCCATGACACTATTTCACTGAGCTGGAGTACAACATTGCGCGTGTTCCATCTACAACGGAACACGCACAATGTTTCTATTGATGATTCTTGGTTTAATCTTCTTTAATTGGTATGAGAGCAAGTTTTTGGTTTGGAGTTTGTTACAAGAGAGTTAATCATTTGTTACAGTTTTTTTCCAGTTGATGTCTTTGTCAAATTATACTGTTACTAAGCTTTGTCGACGGTTTTTCAAGATCAAACTCTTGACAGTGACATGTTTCGTTGATGTTCTTTCTAAGACAAGTGAAAACAAGAAAACAAACGTGAAAGCCATGACGATGGAGGACCTTATTGAATGTCTCTGCACTGTTGAGGAGAGATGTGGCTTGGACACGCAAAGATCAGGTACACGACTTTTCCTCATTGAGGAAGAATGGGATGCACGAAGGAGACAACAAGAGCTTAAACATGATCCAGCTTCAACGGCGGCAACAACGTAACAAAAAGCCGCCTTAAACCGCAACCTAAAGCTTGCAAGAACGCCGAACGCATCGTTTGCGACGGTAAGGCAGAACGTGATGTGTCGTAAGTAAAGTGTTTCAATTGCAACAAGTTGGGACATTTTTCTAGGGACTAAGGGGCACCATGGCGTGAACGCAAGGGACATCAACGTGCAAATCTTGCCAAAGTTGACAAGGAGAAACCAACACTACTTCTTGCAGGAGCATGCAAAATTGGCAACAATGAAAATCCAACTCTGCTGACAACAATGATCATGCCAAAAGTAGTTGGTGTGTCAGATCTCACGACACGCAAGATGATGCCAACGACACTAGTGATGAACATCATCAAATGAGTGTTGCTCGTTGAGATGCATGTGAATTTTGCCAAGGACATGCAACCTGACAATACCTGGTTCTTGGATACGTGTGCCAGCAATCACATGACGAAACACAAGTATGTTTTCGCCGAGCTCGACATCAGTATTACCTCAGCAGTAAAGTTTGGGGACAGATCAGTGATAAACATAAAGGGGCTCGACACAATCTTTTTTGTCTGTCGAAACGGTGAACATCTTGCACCTACTGATGTTTACTACATTTTCCAATTGCGTAGCAACATCCTAAGTCTCTAGCAGCTAGACGAGAACAGTTGCTAGATTTTCATCAAAAATGACATCATTTGGCTTTAAAATCAAAAGCGACGTGTGATCGCCAAAGTCGAGAGAGCACGAAACAAACTATTCATCGTCACGCTTGATGTTGTTCAGCTAGTGTGCCCGTCTCGGCAACGACGCATGGAAGTGGCATCAACGGTACGGAGATCTCAACTACAATGCTCTATGAAGATTGGTACGCGAACTATCGCAGATCAAACACATTGATCAACTTTACGACAACTGTCTTATTGATAAGCAACGACGGAGTACTTTTCTCCAGGCGGCAAAGCATCGAGCAGACGGACTTCTCAATAAATCGCCGTGCAAAGGGCGATTTATGCGGACCGATAACGCAACTGACTCTAGCTAGATGATGCTATTTTCTTCTCCTCGTCGACAATCTGAGCCATTTTATGTGGCTTACACTGCTAACCGCAAAGGACTGTAACATTAGGGTTTAGAGAAAAATTCATTTGAAGATAGAAACAGAAACTCTGAAGATGAGAGATTCCAACAATGGTTTTCATCTTCCTTATATAGGTCTCATCAACAAGTACAAGGAGATAAGATCTTATCCCCTGAAGATGAGAGATTCCAACAATGGTTCTCATCTCCCTTATATAGGTCTCACCAACAAGTACAAGGAGATAAGATCTTATCCCCTGAAGATGAGAGATTCCAACAATGGTTCTCATCTCCCTTATATAGGTCTCACCAACAAGTACAAGGAGATAAGATCTTATTCCCTGAAGATGAGAGATTCCAACAATGGTTCTCATCTCCCTTATATAGGTCTCACCAACAAGTACAAGGAGATAAGATCTTATCCCCATCATCCATCATACTCCTAGTGGATGGATGATGTGATGTATAATTCTAACAAGCACACGGATCGTTGACGTGACACTCCCAACTAACACACTAACTAACACACTCAATCCTTACCTAACAAGCACACGAATCGCTAACGTGGCATTGTCAACTAATACACATACTCTCTACCTACCAAGCGCGCAGATCGATGACGTTGTAGCTATGACTAGTGCACGCTAAAGTATCTATGTCAACATTTAGAGTAACCTCTAATTTGGTTCTAACAACCTAAAGATGGTTACAAGGACAAGGCGAAAACAACGATAAGGCGTTTCAAAGCAACGATCAAAGTGAAGAAAGGGCACAAGTTGTGACTTCTTCGCACGGACTGTAGTGGAAAGTTCAATACAGCAACATTTGCATCAACATTTGCATCATTTTTGTTGAGAAGGGCATCAGATGGCAACTCACGGCGCCATATTCACCGTAGCAGAACGGCAAAATCAAACTATTGTTGAGACAGCAAGGAACTTGATGAAGACGAAGGATGTGCGAACGAGACTCTGGGTTCGGCAATGAACACCGCGGACTATATCCGCAACTGTTCACCAACAAAAAGCGTTGACGGTGAGACACCATACGAGTTATGACACGACTACAAACATGATGTTAGTCATCTTTGCGTGTTTAGTTGTGTTGCGCACGTGAAGGTGGTGAAGTCACATTTGACAAAGCTCGATGATCAGAGTACATCAATTATGTTTCTCGACTACGAGCCCGGATTAGTGTTAAATTGTATATACAATTCCATTTGCAACCGCGTTCACATCACGCAAGATGTGGTGTTTGACAAAAACGCGTAGTGGGACTAGACGAATCAGGAATGTACAATGGACGGTGGCGGCTCCGTCGTCAACTATAGGTTTGTCATCAACTTCAGATTCAACATTGAGAATTTCATCTATCTTGTGGTAGAAGCCACGACCAACACTATTGCAACGCGCACAAGTATCGTCATGGTTGAGAGGTTGTCTATTCTTGATACCACTGTAGAAAATGCAACATTTGCAAGGCAGAAAACATCCGTCTTCGCTGCCATGGCAACACCAGCTACGAGTCTGATGATGCATCCTTGCCACGAATGCTGCATTTGATGATCACGCGAGCTCGCGCCTACATCGTGCAGCCGAATCAGCACTACAACAACTTTGTGATCGACAGCGATGAACTTCAACTCGGAGAAGTCGACAAACATAGCACGTTCGTTGAGTCCAAAAACAACGACAATTGGCGGTGAGTTTTGGATGAGAAGATGAATTCTATCATTGGAAACCGTATCTTGCGACTTGTTGATTTTTCCATAGGTCACAAGCCAATCGGATTGAAATGGGTTTTTAACCTAAAACGCGACGTCAATGGCAAAGTCTTGAAGCACAAAGCGCGGCTTGTCGCAAAGGGCTTTGTTCAGCATTAGAGAGTCAATTTAGACAAGGTGTTCGCGCCGGTGGCACGTCTTGAATCTGTACGCATATTGATCACCCTCGTTGCTCACGAAGTGTGGTCCATCCACCACATGAACCCAAAAAAAGCCTTCCTCAACGATGAGCTACAAGAGTATGTGTACGTCTCCCAGCCTCT